CTCGCCTGTTTGAGCTGGTGGCATTTTATTTTATGGGATCTTTTCCACGATTGATTTCTAGCAATAAATATGTTATTATTGCTTCTAACTATTTGACTTGTTGGTTGGAAGTTGGTGGTCTTGCTAGCGCCTCTGCAACTGTTATTAGATACTTCTTCCTCAATTGAGTGGTGTTCTAGCATTCTTGTCTGGAATAGATTCTTTCGGATAATAGTCTTGTATTTATTGCTGAGGCATTTCACGTTTTGACATCTCAGTTAGGGATCCACTACACTTTCACGAGTGCTTATCATCCACAGTTAGACAGTTTGGTGGAACGGCTTATTTGAACATTCAAAGGAATAATCACGAAGTATATTAACTTTCAGCATTCGGATTGGGATAGTTATTTGCCATCTCTTTGGTATGCATATGTCATAGGGGTGCAGAGTTTTGTTGGTGCTTCATCATATAAACTCTTATATGGTCATGATCCAATATTACCAATGGAGCTGGGTTTACTTTCGTGATTACCACGAGCTGCCAATACTAGGTTATGGGATCAGTATTTGATGAGAATTTTTCCACTTATCCAAGTAGAATCTACTGAACACTTAGGCCATATAAAAGTGGGACAACAATGGCACTACAACTCCCATCATCATCCATCTGTAGAGTACAAAATGGATGACTTGGTGTTAGTCCATTTTCCCCATCTTACGATATGTGGTTTATCTAAAGCACTCTTTACTAAGTGGAAAAGACTATATCGAATGTTGCAGCAAGTTGGACCACAAGTTTATAAGGTTTGACATGATGTCCAGTAGGTCGATCCTCTAGAAATTTTGTATGTGCAACATTTGAAACAATTTGTACAAAAGGATCAAAAATAATTAATACCATCTATATATCTGCTAATGCATCCTCTTGATGTTCCTCCAAATCCTGGCCTATCTACAAAAGAACCCAGATGGTCTTTTTATTATTTTGAGAGGAGGGAATGATGTGAGGTCCAAGTGTATAGCTACAATACCATATATTAATATTAGCGTAGTGGGGTTTTGGTAGCCATCAGATTGGTTTTAATTCGGATCACTCACTCCTGTGTATAAGCTAAAGTTTTTGAGCTAATTGATATGCACATTTTTTTCCATATTCCATGCACTCATAAAGGCTGGTATTAATGTTTTTCTTTAAAATGGCAAGACTCTTGTTATATAATGTGGTTTAATAAAAATTATAATAAAAATTATCTATTTTGAATTCTTTTAGAAAGTTAAACAGAAATAGTAATATGTTTAAAATTTAAATAAGTTTATTCATTTTCAAAAAAAGATTTTATATCACATTAATACTTAAGCATTAATCTGTAATAGTTGCCTCCTATAGCCTTCTTTATCCTTAGTATGTATTTGCTCCTATTTTAAAAGTTTTATGTATTTTAAATCATCAAAGCAAAAGTAATAAAAACATTTTATCACTTTATATTTTCCATTTTCAACATATAGTATTTACTTTTTATTTGCTTTATATTTTTATCTCTTGATTAGAGAAAAACATTAGTAAATATATAAAAATTGAGTTTTAGTTTTAACACAACATTTTAATATTTAGTTTATGTGAGTGGGAATAGGTATATTAATTGGGGTTTAGACCCCTGCTTATATACAGATTTATGTATATATGTGGATGGACCAGACTTTATATGCTTTAGTACTATAATTAGTGTATTATCTAAGCAGGATAATACATGCATATGTATTTACAAACCTTACACCATCTTCCTCTTTGGAAAATGAAAAGGTAATGACAATAATTTTATTGAACAATAACAAATTATCATAAGAATCTGTAGCTCCCACAAAACTAATAACAAAGTTGTTGACAACCATGATTGAAACAAAATCTAGAGCCATAGCATAAGTATTAGTCAATTACGGAATCTTAATAAACCAATTGCAACTCTATGTGCAACTACTAAATGTTTAAACCAACATTGAAACCATAACTTTAAACCAAAGTAAAGAACTTCAAGAGCCATTGTAGTCCATAAAGCACCATTGTAGCAAATAATATATCCTATCTCTAAGTGTATCTATTGATGATCCTCCAAAACCATCATTAACTAGGACTTAGGACCATAAGTAAAACTTACTTATGCCTTCCTTTTGGTTAATATTTGAAATCTATATTAACTTAAACTCACAATCATTATCCTTGTCTAACACTGTATATAATAGGTTGGATTCACTCTGTTTGTCCTCTATATCTTCTTTATGCCCTCCTTGAAGGAAAATAAATTCTAAAACACTATCTTTGTTTGGATTTGCTATGCTCGTCCTCACTTTATTATCTATATTTGGCTTTATTCCATTATCATATTCGTTTAGCCTCACTATGCCAGGGCTAAATGTTCTATTCGGACTCACTATACTTGTCCTCATTCCATTATTCATCTTCACTTTACTACCATAGTCACTTATCCTCACTTTATTGTCGAGGCCAAACTACTATACCTTCCCTCTAACCACCCCTCCCCCCCTCTAAAGAATTATTTTTTGAAATGTCAAAACAAAAAGAGAAAGTGAGAAAAACTGAGGAAAAACCATTGTAGAAGAAAAAAAAATGGATCAAAAAGCATTGGAAGAAAAATTTACAGAAGCTGGCAATGCAACAATAATAAAATTAAAAGGATATATGTTTAAAGTTTGGAAAATAGGGGACTTCTTATCATAAAATACTTTTGCCACCACAATATAAACAAAAAATTCACACCATTCAACTTCCTCAATATATAACTCAACACTTGAGATGGGAAAATCAATAATAATATCTACACTCTCGAGGGAATACATAAACTTTTTAGCAACAATAAGAAAACAAAAGCTCCTAGTAACACTAATAAGTGGAGACACAACTTGAAATTCTGGCCAAAGTGACTTAACCCTTGAAATATGGAAATACTCAATATTAGAATTAATCAAAGACTTTGTTAATGAAACAAAAGTAAAATTCTCTATTTCATATACATACTCAACATCCATATTAGTATGAGGAAGATAGAAAACACTTAACTCAACCCTAGATTAAGAATGAGAATCATAAGAGTCAGAAATAATCAATATACCAAGAAAATGAAATATTGCAGAGGAGGAAGGAACACTAAGAATATGAAAAAGTGGCTCAAGCTAAGAAATAAAAAAAGGTTGAGAAATAGCAAAAGGTAAAGAGAAAAGATTAAATGGCAAATTGAAGGATTGATATTTACCCTACAAAATCTTCACTTCATCTCCAAAACAATCTTTATAATAATTAAACTTGTCATCATAATCTAGAATCCACTAGAGTTTGTACATATCATCTTTTCATAAATTTGATCCTCAAATATTTTTCAAGAATTGAACTGGATTATCCATAGATTGCCAATCAATGTCACAATCACACTTCACATCAACTAAAGATGGCAGAACACCGAAAACAAGACAAATTGTATAATCATGTCCCATAAAAGTTAAAGATGGCAATACATCAAGGACTAATGTAACATTAATATGACACAGCACCAAAAGTTCAATCCAAAAGAATAGCATAAACAATCTCAAATAACATACTCCTTGATCAATGACAATGTGGCATGGTAGAAGAAGAGAATCCAATAAAGATTAGAAGAAAGAACAAATATAAGCATAGCAATAGCTAAAATTCTAGATCTTGCAAAAAGCTAATACAAATCTAAATTTAAAAGAGAATGAAGAAATAAAAAAGAAAAACACAATCCTGAATATTAAAGTAAAGCATTGCCAAAAAACTTTGCCCTTTAAGTACAAATTGCATTGCCCTTCATCTCCACTAATGTGAGTGCTTTGGATGGATAGATCATATTCAAATATGATATGGATGGTCAATATGCTTTAGTACTATAATTAGTGTATTATCTATGTAAGGTAATACATGTATATACATATATATATTTATAAACTTTATAGTTTGTAATTAAATTATTTCATAAATAGTTTAATATTAAAGTTTTAATCCTTTCATTAATATTCTAATGAATGATTTTTTGTTATTAAATTAAACTTTTCATTCAAGATGGAGTCTTAATGTTGTACTTGATTATTTGTATATAGTATATGGATATTATTATGTTACTTTTAATAGCGGAACTTCAAAGTTTAAAATTTTCATATCTTTATCTTTTTTAGTAGGATTCATTATTTTTATTTTTGTATAATTTTTTTATTTCTATATTGTCTTATTATCTATGTAATTCATAATCTTTGATATTATCTTTTCAAATATTTTATAATTTCAAGTGTTCTTAAATTTATAAAAAATTTATATAAACTGTGTACTTCATTTAATCTCTTAATTTAAAATGCTACTTTATCAATAACTAGTAATTGTATATTTGTAATTATTTTCTCATATTATTTCAATGCTATAGTTTTAATATTTGTTTTTGCTCCCACCCCTTCAAAATGTGCAAATCCACATTGTCCATTCAACTAGTTATTGTCAGAACTTTCGTCTTGGTGCCTTCTTCAAGTTTCCCCACCCACACTGACCACAGTTTTTTGTTTAACTTTGATTTATAAATATTTTAATTATTTATATTTTATTTTTACAAACCCTTTTAGATATCACAATGGAATTATGATATTATCTCTGCTATGTTGGTAAGCAAACTTGTAAGGGGCCAAGGGGAGGTACAGAAACACAGGGGAATCCGATTGAATCCAACTGTGCTTGTCTCTCTTTTTCTTTTCTTCTTGAGAGGCCGCCAAAAGAGCAAGCAACAAGGAAAGGAGAAAAAAGAGATGATGCAGTGTTCGACCCCTGGCTCGATTCTTTCGTTTTGCTCGCTTGCTTGCTGATAGAAAAGAAGTGAACGTTGACATGTACAGAGGTCTGCTTGTCCTTGGGGAAGATAAAGAAGGAAGAAACTTTCTCTTTTTTAACTAATGGTCGAGGTGTGGTCCACACTGTCTGCTTGTGTTCCAATCTACTATAGAAATATCGACAAAGTAGAGTAGCAAGAGAGGGAGCCACACTCCTCTCGTGCAATGATTTTCGATTGCTAGCAGCTTTGTTCTCGAGCCAAAAGTCCGTCAATTCACTGAGAATTGTTAATGGCATCAGTGAAAAGCTATCTAGTTTCCAGTAGCTCGTCGCTCGCGCGAGAGTGCTATAACCATAAAATTACAAAATCCACAAGCTACCACATCATGAAACGATGAAAGCGAACTTAATCGTTTGGGGATCGTTTCACCACCTGATACGTCTATGGTTCGATTAAGCACACAGGAACTGCGACTCGTTTCCCTCAATGAATCTGCCATGGCTTCTTGAGTCAAACAAACAAGAAGAAGATTGCAATGGTCCACTTACAGCATTATCTCCATCACTTTGTCTTCGAGCTCGGACACCTCTTTCTCTTTGAGCTGATCATACACGAGAAGCTCCGCGAGTTTGGCTGTTATCTAGGTGATTTGTTAAGAGGGCTTAAAGGTGGAAAGCTCATCACTTACGGAAGAGACGAAGCAAATGCTCGGCTCCATAGATCGTGGACGGTACAATGTCGCTGTTGAGCGAAAGCAAGGTTGCATATTGCTTCCGTTCTGCCGGGTACAAGAGCAAGTTCTTGAGAGTTCTGTCGAAGTAATACCGCAGGCCGTTTGAAACCTCGACGTCAATCCTGGAAGGCAAAAGTTTGCACAATGAAACTTGACGGCATTATATATACACCTCTCAGCTTTTCCTCTCTTGAGCATCCTGTGGTCTTGATACAATTTCAGAATGTCCTCCACGCTGGGTTTCTTGGGAAGTCTTGTGAGTTGGAGGTTCTCGATGCGATCCTTGTGATCCTGCAGATGTCGCCGCAAAGTTCTCGGCAGAACAATCTAGCAACAGAAAAGAAAAGAGACAAAGCAATAGTAAAGTAGCATTGAAAGAAACTACGGTACCTGAATTGGAAGAAGCTTCGCGTCCTGTTTTCCCAAATCGCTAGGGCTCTCGATTATAAACTCCTGTTTAGGAGTTTTTATCATCTTTCCCCTCTCAGCAGTGGCTCCCACAGAAGGCCGACTCTTGCAACGCTTGGACTGCTCGACTTTGGAGACTTTGGACAGCGAGTCCGAAGGATTTGCCTCCTGCCGGTTCAATCCATCGCTGAAACCAAGCTCCTGCTTTACCTTTGGGGCGATCTTAAGCTGGCCCCTGGCCTTCTCGTCGAAAATGCGATTGCTGCGAACCCACTCGTCAAATCTGCAAAACCAAGAATCGAGGCCAAGAAAATTGTTGCCTAGATTAATATCAAAGGGTTACACTACTTTTTGCTCCATCCCTGCAAAAATACAGGACAATAAAATCCACTGACACATTTCTTGGTAGTCTCAAACAAACCGTGTAATGCACTAAATACCGCCAAGCATTCGCTCGAAACTTGATGTTGGTGACCTGCATTTGCCATGGGATCGCTAAGATCGCTAAAACCTAGCTTCGAAACCTTTGAAATCACCTTGGCATTGTAGTAGAGCCCCCCATAAGAAACAAGCACATCGTCGCCATGCTTGAGCACCGGAGGACTCGAAATGGCGGGTACACTGACGTGGCAATGATGGCGTACAACTTCGTTTTGAAATACATTCGCGTACTATTCTCCATGTACACTGATTCTGTTTCCACCATTCAGCTGCAGATACCATCAGCGTTGACTTTGGCTTCTCATGCAGTACTCCTGTGGCTGGAACTTAGTTTTTCACTTTTCTAACCACCAATGCGTCTCTTGTTGTAGGTAATGTTCTACTATTGAATAATTGTTGTTCATTTATATTAATATTGTATTTATAATTTATAAACATGTTATGAGTTGTCAACTTTCCTAAACACTTCTTAGTATATTCTAATTTATTCTACCAATATGTAATAAAATTAGGTTTCTTTTTATTTATGATTATAAACTTCCAATTTTATTAATAAACAGGAATAACACTTTTATTAAGCACATGCGGCATGCAAAATTTTAATTCTTCTTGTATTTCTATATAAGTTTTAATTATATCTTTTGAAGAAATATTTATATTATCTGAATTAACAAAACTATCTGAATTCATATTTTAAGTAAAAAGTCTTGACACCACAATTTAAATATATTGCTGTATGTTTGCATGAAACAACATTTGGTTTGCTTAATTGTAGTGCCATTGAATAATCCAATTGATCAATAATTATAAACATGTTTATAATTTGTAAATCAAGATTAATCTTATTGCATATTAACCATTAGATGGTAGAATATTAAAGAATATATTATGAAGTGTTTAGGAAAGTTTATAAATTATAAATATGATTATAAATTATAAGATTAATTTAACTGAATAAGGGTAAAATATCCTAGAAAATCCAAGTATATTCTAAGTATATTAGTCCCTTAAGTTTTGCTTAAACACCAAGTAGAATTTTCAAACCACTTTAAGAGATTTTAAATTTCGCCCAAACCAAAGCCACATGACCATCGTTCAAGGTTATAATATCGTTCTGTGAGAGCTAAGTGTACGGCTACAATGCTATATACTAATATTAGCGTAGTGGGATTTTGGTAGTCATCGAATTAGTTTCAATTCGGACCACTCACTCCTGAGCTAGGGTTTTTAGGCTAATTGATATGCACATTTTCTGTATTCCCTTTCTATATTCCACTCATATTGGTGGAGGTGAATAGCACCTTCTGAGGATTAGGCTAATTGATATGCACATTTTCTGTATTCCCTTTCTATATTCCACTCATATTGGTGGAGGTGAATAGCACCTTCTGAGGAGTGCTTGAATTTGGGATTTTGGTTTAGATCTAGCTTTTGCATTATCTAGATTTAGTTTTTTCCATTTCCTTTAGATTTAGCTTTTTGCATTGTCTAGATCTACTATTTCCTTCTAACTTTTTGTCATTTATCTTCTTTTACTCTTTCTTTTTCATTCATCTTCATAGCAGATTAACAATCTTCTCCTTTAACTCTTGAGTGTAAGCTCTTGAGTTTGGACTTCCCCGGGAGGTCACCCAGCCCAGTACTATTCAAACCCAAGGACACTTAACCCCAAATATCCCAAGACCCTTAACCAATTGGAAAAGGGGGTGCACTCTTGTTCATGGGCCCTTTTCCCTCTATATTTGAACTCCAACGGATCGTCTCTCAAGTCGTTCTCTTTGGTTGCTTACATTGAGCAGCAGTTGGTCCAATTGCTTGATGCTATGTGTTTGCAATTGAACAACCAAACTCAATTTATGGTGACATTCACGACACGTGGTACAACTCCTCCTCCTCTTAGTGCCAATCCTCGCATTCGACCGGAGTTCTTTCGCAGGAATCTTGGGGATAATGTGTACCATTGGTTTGATCACTTCATAGTGATTGCCACATATCATTCTTCGGATAATACTCAATGTTTGCGTGAGTTTCCCATGTGTTTCCAAGGGATGGCGTTGCAATGGTACAATGGTTTGAGTGTAGCCACTCGTGGGGATTAGAGTGTTCTCCCGAACATCTTCAAAGACCTTGGTGTCAACAACGTCCCATTAGTGTTGCTACAGTGGAAGGTTTGGACACCAAGATGCATCCGGGAAACGAGGACTCACGCGAGTAAACTGAGGGACCTTGCGCGAATAAGTCAGTGACCCTTCCATTTTTCTTTCGGGGGTATCATCAAGGGGTTCACTCGGCACCAGTTCATCCAGTGTTTACTTTCCAAGCTTGTTTTTATAACAAGAGGTCTCCTATTGTTCTCTCCGTGTTGGTTGATATAGGTTCGAGTTTATTTTCTATTGCTCGTCCTGTTGCCACACATTGTCGTCTATACTTGCATCATGTGGCAAAACTAGTTTTCATTCTTTATGGCAACGGCCGTACACATGCATGTGCACGGGATGAGGAGGACCTGGTTGTGCGTGTGGGCGATCTTGAGCTTGAGTTGCAGTCGTTGCGGGTGGTGCCGAGTCAAGCGTTTGACCTCATTCTTGGTATGGATTGGTTGCAACACAATCATGCCAAGTGTGACTTTCAGGCTTCTCCCCTTTATCTCATACTTCCTTATGTTTCATCCATTCCTCTCACTTCTGTACCTTTTTGTCCCTCTCCTTCTACCTCTGCTTTCATTACTTTTGTTCCCCCACTATTTCCTCCTATGTTTCTATCTTGTTCTGCTCTTCCCTTTTCCGATCCCTCCAACGATCTTTATGTTGCAGCGGTGGACCGGCTTATGAAAGAGTATTCTGATCTCTTTGAATTTGACCTATAGTTTGGGGCCAAGGTTGCCACATGTCATCCAATTCCAACCGGGGATGCTCGTCCAATCAAGGTTCCCGTTCGTCATCAGTCACCCAAGGAGATCAAGATTTTATGTGCAAATGTCAAGGAGATGTTGGAGAAGGGTGTTATTCAGAAGTAGCGGAGTTTTTGGGCATGTAAACCTAATCTTGTGACGAAGCTTAATGGGAGTATTCATTTCTACATCGACTATTGTCCATTAAATGAAGTGATGATCCCAGATGTGTACCCTCCTCACACTGCTGATCTCTTGGATCGTCTAGGGCGAAGTCATTAGTTCACCAAACTAGATCTTGCTTCTAGGTATTGACAAGTACTAATGGCTGAAGAAGATATTCCTAAGACTACTTTTCGTACACTATTTGGTTTGTACGAGTTTTTGGTGACGCCGTTTGGTTTGAACAATGTTCTAGCAACTTTCCAGCAGATGATGGATGAGGTTCTTGCAATATGCTGGAGGTCACTACTAACTTCATTAATGATGTCTTGATTCACTCAAAGGGGACATGGGAGGAGCATGTTCGTGATGTTTGTAAAGTGTTGGATCAGCTACGCGATGCTGGTTTAAAACTGAAGTGGTCGAAGTGGGTGTTTGGGTCCAAGATACAACTTACCCTAGATACTGTATTTCTCGTGAGGGTTTGCAAGTTGATCCTGACAAACTTGTGGCTGTTTTAAAGTTCCCTACTCCAAAGTGTGTGAATGATGTGTAGTGCTTCTTAGGCAAGGTGTAGTATCTTAGTCGTTTTGTGGATCATCTTTTTGATCACACTACACTATTGCGAGCGTTGTTGAAGTCATCAACATCATCTTTCATCTAGTCTCTGGATTGTGAGCGGGCGTTTAGGGATCTTAAAGAGCTATTGACAACTCCTCCGGTTTTGGCATATTCTAACTACACTTGACCTTTTATTTTGTGCATGGATGCTTTTGACATTGGTTTTGGAGGTGTGTTGATGCAAGAGAGCTCGAGTGTGCCTGGTCAGCGCCATCCTATTGCGTATATAAGCCATATATTACAACCAGTGGAAATGAACTACTCCACGACAAAGGAGTGTTTAGCAGTAGTTTGGGGTTTCGAGAAACTTCATGCATATCTACATGGTTCTCGGATGTTACTTGAAGGTGATCATGCTGCTATTACTTCATTATTAAAATGGAAGAACCTGGTTGGTCGTACTGCTCGATAGGCTTTGAAACTTCAAATATATAATTTTGATGTTGTTCATCAACTAGGGAGTTCTATGGCTGATGCTGATGCTCTTTCTCAAGCTCCTCTTCCTTCTCCATTTTCTTCTCATGTTTCTGACGAGCCTATTGTTCCAGCCTCTGTGGATTTTCTAGATGAGGATTCTGTGCTATCGGCGGTTGCTGTACTTGACGTTTAGTATCCACAAGGCACAGAGCAAGATCTACCTTCTCTTGATGAGGTTCGCGAAGCTCAAAAGATTGAGCTATGAATTTAAAGGCTTTGAGATGGGTTTGAAAATCTTGCATCACTTGCTGATGACTTGCCTTTTTGGCATTTATATTCTCAATATCGCTTTGAAGACGGCCTTCTTTATTTTGTGAGGACGGATCCTAATAATCATTTATAGCTAATGGTGCCTTTTATTTTTGTTCCACGGTTTCTCCAGGCTTACCGTGATTCTCTTGTTCTAGGTGGGTATATGGGACATCGTCATGTAACCGAGAAGCTGCGCAGGTCTTTCTATTGGCCAGAGATGTGACGTGATATTATCCTGTATGTGCATAACTGCGTTTGGTGCCAAGTTTGTAATACTCCCCGTCGGGCTGCGGAAGGACGGTTGGTAGTTTCCCATCCATTTGAGTTAGTGGCATTTGATCTTATGGGACCTTTTCCACGATTGACTGTTGGCAATGAGTATATTATTATTGCTTCTGACTATTTGACTTGTTGGGTGGAAGTTGGTGCTCTTGATAGTGCCTCTGCAATTGCCATTGGATACTTCCTCCTCAATCGAGTGGTGTTCCAGTATTCTTGTCCAGAGTGGATTCTTTCAGATAATGGTCCCGCATTTATGATTGAGGCATTTCATGTTTTGACGTCTCGGTTGGGGATACGCCACACTTTCACAAGTGCTTATCATCCACAATCAGACGGTCTGGTGGAATGGCTCGTTTGGACATTCAAGGGGATGATTGCGAAGTATGTGAACTTTCAGCATTCGGATTGGGATGGTTATTTACCGTCTCTTTGATATTCATATGTCACAGGGGTGTAGAGTTCTGTTGGTGCTTCACCATATAAACTTTTATATGGTTATGATCCAATATTACCAACGGAGCTGGGTTTACCTTCGCGATTGCCACGTGCTGCCAATGCTAGGTCATGAGATCAATATTTGATGAGCATTCTTCCACTTGTTTGAGTAGAGTTTGCCTAACACTTAGGCCACGTACAAATGGGACAACAATAGCGGTACAACTCTTATCATTGTCCACCTGCAGAGTACAAAATGAAGGATTTGGTGTTAGTCCATTTTCCCTATCTTATGGTATGTGGTTTATATAAAGAGCTCCTTGTGCAGTGGAAAGGACCATATTGAGTGTTATGGCAAGTCGAACCACAAGTTTATGAGGTTTGGCATAACGTATAGCAGGCCGATCCTCCAAAGATTGTGCATGTGTAACAGTTGAAATGCTTTATAGAAAATGATTAAGAGCAATTAATACCATTTACATATCTGCATGTTCTGAGAGGAGGGGATGATGTGAGGGCCAAATGTATAGCTAATATTAGTATAATGGAATTTTGATAGCTGTCAAATTGATTTCAATCCAAACCACTCACTCTTGTATATAATTTAAAGTTTTTGGGTTAATTGATATGCATATGTTTTGTATTCCCTTTCCATATTCCAAGCACTCATAATTATTGATATCATAACCATCATATCAAAAATATACTTTATCACAATTAGATTCCTTCAAAAAGTAGTGGTTGAGTTCCCCGGACGTCCTTTTACGTCCCTGAGAGTGCTCGCTTCGATCGATCGGGAAGATATGGGCAAGAGCGCTGGATTTGAGGCGATGGCGATGGCGGCAAGGGATGCGGCGGGTGTTCTTGCCCCTTTCAAGCTCGCCCGGAGGTAATCCTTGGAGCTTTCCCTCCCTCGATTCGATGAATTGCAAGAGTTCCGCAGGAATCCCAGTGCCACGGACGTGGTGATTAAGATCCTCTACTGCGGAATCTGCCACTCGGACTTACACCAGATCAGGAACGGATGGGGGATAACGATTTTTCCCGTTGTTCCTGGGTAAGCTACTATATCTTCTTGCGATTCTATTATTCCAGGCACGAGATTACTGGCGTGGTGGAACAGCTGGGCTCCTCGGTGAGCCGCTTTACACTCGGGGACCGTGTGGCCGTGGGCTGCCTCGTTAGCTCTTGCCATGACTGCCACTCTTGCAACGAAGGCCTGGAGAACTACTGCCCAAAGCTTGTGTGGACTTACAATTCTCACTTACCGGATGGAAGCCACACCATGGGAGGCTTCTCGACCGCCATCGTCGTGGACGAGAGGTTAGTGTTTGGCTTTTCTTCCATCTATGAACAGTATGCCAACCTTTTCCTTGATGGAACTTCCCAGCTTTGTGATCAAGGTCCCGGCAAAGTTGCCGCTGGACACCGCAGCTCCACTGCTGTGTGCCGGGATCACGGTGTATAGCCCCATGAAACACTTTGGAATGGCGGAGGCTGGGCGGAGCTTTGGAGTGGTGGGACTGGGAGGCCTGGGGCATATGGCTGTCAAGTTCGGCAAGGCCTTTGGCATGAAAGTCACGGTGATTAGCACGTCGCCAAAGAAGGAGAGGGAAGCCAGGGAGCTGCTTGGAGTGGACGATTTCCTGGTTAGCACGGACAAAGAACAAATGGCGGTAAGAATCACCTTAGTTTCTTGCAAGATTTCCTTCTATATATGTGCACAGGCTGCCGCGATGTCGATCGACTATATCATTGACACCGTCTCGGCGAAGCACGCGTTGGAGCCCCTGCTGGCGCTTCTCAAAGTAAATGGCAAGATGGTCTTGGTTGGAGCACCGGACGCTCCTTTGCAGATAGCACCCATAACTCTCCTTGCTGGTAACACATGAGTTTCAATCCTCTTGTGCCTCATCTTGTGTGGTTTATGTCCCAGGACGTCGGATGATCGCTGGGAGCCTGATCGGGGGCATCAAAGAGACGCAGGAGATGATGGATTTCTGCGGGGAGCACAACGTGACGGCCATCGTTGAGCAGATCACGATGGGCAGCGTCAACGAGGCCATGGAGCGGCTGGCAAAGTCGGATGTCAAGTATCGGTTCGTCATTGACATGCGCAAGAGCGAGTCGGAGATGCAAAGGTGAGCTCTAAAAGTAAATCAAGAGTTACTTACTGTTCTGGTATATCATCAATCAGACCGCACCACTGTGATCAAGAATTCGTATCAGCATGAAGAATAGTTTTGTAGCTTATTCTCTTTGAGCAATGGTTTAGAATAGATCTGCAAGAGGAACTTCCAAAAACAAGCGTGAAGACGTCCGTTCATTGCAAAAATTGAAGGCTTGGTCAGTGTTGTTACACGTTACTGTACATGATGACTGATTGACTGGGTTTGCCAGTCGTTATTGTGTGTCCAAAGTTGCGCCAGTTCTGGCCTGGAATGCACGGGCAAGAACACGAAAAGCTCGAGAAGCAATGCACCAAGTAAAATCTCACCTGTGATATGCGGTTCGCGTAAATTGTTACAAGTCGTAGCTGGGTGCTACTGAGGCTTCCGAGGTACGGAACAAAGGCTTTCCCAAGTACGATGTAAATATCAACTAAGCAGAAGACGACGGTCTGCAAGTTTCCACACTCTTGTTAGAAACGAATGACACAAAATAAATGAAATCACCTTTCGAACATCGGCGTTTTGATTGCCAAAAGCATCAAACAATGCTGGCAAGAAAGACGGGAGTTGTGCCATGAGCTCCTCTTGAGGAAGTCGAGTGACAAGCTGCATGGACAGTGTCTGTTAATCGTACATACATATTCCGGCTTTACCTTTGTCAGGCAGCTAATGCAAGTGACAAGAGTCTTATCATCGTCACTAACCAAAAGAGGCATCACAACCTGCTAGAAAGTCATTCAAGAGTTTTGAAACAATAGATGAGAACACTTACACCAAGACACCGTTGAGGATTACATTGGGATAGCACGGCGCTCAAAGAACGGTCAGCGATGGTAGAAACCTGTAAGTTTTACAGTCAAGCTGGCGCTGGCATGAACATGGCCATGACCTTACCTTTACTGAAAGATCTTTCGTGGCATGTATAAGTTTCTCTAGGATGATTTCGATGCTGTTCTCTATCAGCGCTTTCTGGAAAACAAATCAGGTAAACAAGATGTCACGTACAAAGCATAGACAGGATCTGCCGCACCTGAATAGTGACAATCTCGGATATCGCTGTTAGCGAAATCTCCCTCAATTGTGAGTCGGGGTCATCGAAAGCCTCCAGTATCATTGACAATATCTGGTTCGGATACTGCACACAAGGACAAGAAGTTTAGCACCGAAGCTGAAAAACAGAGGTGTATAAAACCTGCGACCAAAGAGTAAAGTCGTTTGACCGCAGCAACTGCAAAAGCTCCTGAAAGGCTTCGCGTTTTTCATGAACGGGTACTTCCATCCAGTTTAAGAGCTGTCAATGCAGGAGAGAAATCAGTCACGTCACTGTGTAATGTTTACTTTACCTTTTGCAGCAGTCTGCCTGGGCCAGTATCCGGATGTGTCCCCCTGTGCGGCTTACGGTGCAATTCTTCGTACAAATACTCATACCCGGTGGTATGAGTTTTGTAGACATCCTGATCAACTGTCGAAGAAGGAACCATCCGAGAGTCCACAAATCCCATCGGATTAAGCGGAATACTCCTTGCGTCGCTGTCTCGAACAGACTTGTCCAGACTCGTTGTGTCCACATGGTGCACCTCCCGAGCATGGCCTATTGGATCTTCAGTACTGACATACATGTCGTAGTCCGAGTGGAAAAGCTTGCCTGGCTCGAAGTCACCCAGCCTGTCCGAGTGCATGGAATTCCGCTTCAAACCATTACCTTCGTTGTTCACTGGCTGAACCTTTGAGTTTTTCACTTGCATGCCGGCAGAGTTATCTTCCGAAGGCGTTGGAAGCTCGTCATGGTTGGTTGCCGTCTTGGACCTTGCTCTTTGGCTTCTGTTTTGCAGGTATGTCATAAGATCGACTTCGATTCTCGGAGTGTACTGCTTCAAGGCTCGTCGTAAAATACTTTGGTCTTCAACCGACAGTCCCAAGATGAAATTTAAGACCGTCGCGGAGTCGAAGTGTGAATAAACGGAGATAATGCCAGTAACAGCCGTCTCTTTTAGCTTGGGGTTCTTATCGTTCGCAAGAGGAGCTAGTTTTCCAAGCCAGAGTTTGAGCATACCACTGCCTCCAGGAGCCTCACCGTTGAGAGCCAGCTTCGCAAAAGCGGCAATCGCAAACTCAATGACAGCCATCTTTGCCTTGGGAGAACGCTGCTCGTCCAGTGACCTTAACAAGGCCGGAAGTAGCGAGTCGATCGAATATATGTTGCCGATGATCTCCAAAGCTGACGTACCAAGCTGGCGGATAGCTTCTTTACCGTCTATAAGTCTCGCGAAAACTCGAGGAAGGATTCTCTCCAAGTAAGCCTCAAAAGGCTTTCTGCAAGGAGGTACGACTTCGGCCAGTGTTGACAAGGCTGCCTGTGCAACTTTGTGGTGCGGATCGTCGAGATGCTCGTAAAACAGTTTCATGACCTTCTCAAAGTTCTGATTCACGTCATGTAGCCCCTTTGGTCCTTGCTGTAGAAGCTTCCGAAGATATGTAAAGCCTGCAACTCTAGCTGACCAGTCCGCGTTCATGCTAAGGCCCTCCGTTAACGCGTCGTTCAGTGACATAAGCCCGTCCAAACAGGTGAAAGGTTCTGAGTATGACGCTTGAGCCTCTTCGACACTGCTTCTACTGCTCACCGAAGACTTCCCAGATATCAAGCTGCGCATGAGAGGTCGCTGGAAACCTGGTATGCCTTCTTGCACAGGTTCGGTCCTTAGAATGCGCTTCGGCCCCTTCACGTCAATAGGCTCGCCGGACAAAGTTTGACTCGATCTTTCAGTGGTCATCGGTACTCTCTTTGCAACGTTTCCACTGGTTTCCCTCGCTGATCTTCCATGATCCGTAAAGGACTGCTGCAAAGCTTCGGAAGGACAACTCAGGCCCCCACGGAAATTGGATGGCAAGGACGGTGCCCGATTACTAACGATATTTGCTGCTGGCGCAGATGCGGGATGGGGTGGATCCCGGGCAGACGGAGGATCCACATTAACACGTCCAGGAGCGTGAATTTTTCGGTAACTTCCACCGACTGCAAATCAAAATATCATTAGGATAACATCACTCAGGAACAGAAAACTACCTGGATCCTTTCCAATTAATCGAGCCGTAGTTGAAACCACCGCCTTATCAGGAACGTCCATGCCTTTAAGCATCGTCTCGATGGCATTTACTTGTTGTTGACTAGCTTGGAGAACATTCTCTAAATTACGTTCGGCAAGTTGTTCCGCGGATCTTCTATGATTGAGAAAATTTCCCGACATCGAAGAGTTGACGCTCCTATCCAGCTGCGTTGTTGGCGGCGGCACGACTGTATTTACAGTTACGGAAGCCGAATTTCTCAGATGATGGCCTCTTTCGCGAGTAGGAGAAGTATACCGTTTCGGGACGCTGCCATCCTCTTCGTTAAGCAGCTGCAAAATAGAAGATAATATAGAAAAGAGTGCAAGAAATTCAAGTATACTTTCTGGATGACAGGATCAAATGTTGAAAAAAGTCGACGAGAACGGTCAGGCCATGTTTTTGCAAAGCGCCGATAGCAAGACCTTGCCATGGATCTAACCTGTACAGAAAAATTATACAGGTTTAAAACTTCTTGCGAAGAACTTATCACACGAACCTCGCTCATGGCATCCCCAACGCAATATCTTATCAAATCCTCAAACAAGTCAGCTGCCCGGTGTATTTCAGGAGAATCCGCCCATCGTTCTAACACTACCAACGCATATTCACAACACCTTGAAAAGAAGTGTTTCAGACCCAAAAGCAGTATGTTTTACGACCATATACCTCATTCTTAAAGTGGCATTCCGATCATTTTTTGCAGAGTCAACAATACGAGGAAGTACACGAGCCACCCTACAATTCCGAAGCATCTGCAATATCCGAAAAACATTATCGAATTGATAGCCCATTGCAAGCAAACCGTTTTGATGCAATTGTCAGCGGATTCAGCTATCACCAATACTGTTATAACAACCAGCTTAAATAAAACCTGTAAAAACAAAAGACCCGGGTTGTAAGCTCTATATCTCAATAGCAGACAAAATACCGGTATAATGGCCTCCGCTATAGCTTCGAAGTCGGACAGCAAATTCTTGGACAAGAGATTCATCAGATGACATGCCTGCAGTTCGCTCGAGATTAGAAATCAAATGTGTTTCAGGCTCACGCTTGTGATACCTGTTTTACTATGCTAGACCGCCTGTCAGATAACTGGAGAGAAAGAGGCCCAACGAGCTGTTTGAGGAGAGATGGAAAACACATATGCTCCACAGCACCTGAACTAAAACATTAGAAAAAAAAAAACAAGCTTTCAGTACACAAATACAAACCTCCAGCAACAAGTCCCTCCACCCGTTGCATGGCCGCTATGCGGACAGACCAGTCTTGCTCTGGAGTAAGCATGCTGGCTACCTTTTCTATTTCTTTTGCCAAATCTCTGTCAGAAGAAACTCGAATAGGTTCCACAGGTTTATCACTCGCTTCAGCTTCAACTGCATGAAGGCAAATTTTGTCTTCCTAGCAGGACAACAGCAAGAATACCTTACCAGTACTGGGAATCTCGAGGGAAGACTTTGCTTTCGGACTATTTCGGCGATTTCCAGTTGAGGAGTGTTTGGGCTCCGGCGCCAACGAAAGATTTTGCGTCTTGATAACTATTTTGTCAAATCTAGACAAAATATCCTTGAGCTGCGGAAAAAAAAAAAAAAAAAACAACAAATTATAAGAACTCCACTTCACTTCATATACAATCACTAACCTGACTGGCTCGTAGAGAATGGCGTTGCAGCTCCTCTTTGAACTGTATACCACCTTGCCGATACATTTCCTGTAGGCAATTATATAAATCACAAAGTTCCAAAACTTTCAAACATACCTCTACACACATCATAGCTGCCTCCCTCACGCTCGTATTTGAGTCTTCCAACAAGGGCAAGATCTGTAATAAGAAAAATTCGCTTCAATAAGAAGACAAGTGGCAAAGCCATAGTACCGGCGGAAGTAGAAGCCTTTGAAGCTCATTCGCAGAGAACAAGTTGATAGCAGAAGCAGCGGTGCGAGCAAATTCCTCCCGCACCCGCCAGTTCTTGTGCGTCCACGCACAATTCCCAGAACGCTCAACGATCGTCGACGGAGATGATATCTAAAAACACCACAGGGTGAATGACAGACTTCCCTCTTTCTTTTCTTCGTACCTCCATGAGCGCGAGCAGCAACCGTCGCGCAGCATCTCTCACGGGCTGTTTTCCATCTCCGAGCCTTTCCACGACCGCCGGCAAGAGAGCGTTGAAATGGAACTTCAAGTGCTCGCCCGCGAGTGCCGCGGCCAGAGCCAGCGCTTGCAAAGCTCCCTGGCATACTTTAAAGTTGTTGTCCTTGAGAAGACCCAACGTAGCGTCCACAAGATGGCTAGCTTCCGTCACCGACAGGCCCTTCCGGCTATTCTCTAGAAGCGTTTGCAACCTTTCCACCCCGGCCATCCTCTCCTTGGTGTCCTTCGCGCACAGCTGCTGTATAGCGTCCTCCATTGTCTAGCCGAAATTCTAAACTCCCCATCCAGCTCTCTGCTCACGCTCGCCAGCGGCAAGCATGATCCACACCAATGTAGCATCCAGCACTACTCCAATCGCCTTCTTTTCTTCATATTTCCCAGCCCTGTCCCCGACTACACCATTGCGCTCCAAGAAACCGCGAAGATCAAAGCGCTGGCGCCTTGGCTCGAGAATTTCCACCCCCGAGATCTTCAACAGCGTACCTCGCGCTAGTGGCGCGGAGAAGCCTCCCGCCTTCGCTTCCACTCTCTCCTCCCGCCTTGCGAAAATTTAGGGCAACCGCAAAATGCAAGGGTTTGTTTTACGAGGACGGAATATCTCTATGCACATTCCGTTAGCCATATTTCCATATGAACCCTAACCCTAAACGCTAAAACCCAGCTGCCATGGCGACGGGGGAGAAGAAAACGAAGAAGATCGATGTAGAAATGGTCGATCCATCGCCAGAGCCGCCGCAGCAGAGGCGGAAGAAGAAGAAATCCAGGGCGCCGGAGGTAAATGTTGATAATCCGTCTCCGGATGATCCATCGTCGGGCAATCCGGGCGAGGAGCGGCCGGATTTGCCGAAAACCAAGAGGAGGAAGCTCGGCGCTGAGGCGATTGAGCTGACAGGGCTGGAAGTCTATTGGAAGCTCCCTTCTTTGGATCCGGCGGAGAGACAGGCAGCGGCATTGGCACTGGTGAGAGAGCTCCAAGCCGCTCAGCAGACGTTTGAGGCGGTCGATGGAAGAGTTGAGAGTGGTGCCGAGAGGATTCTTCTCGGAGAGGAGCACAGTGGTGGTGCGCTCAAGTCGTGTGCTCCGGAGCTCCAGTATGCGCTTCCAAGGCTTGTTCGAGGAGTCGGATCTTCTAACCAGGTTTGCTTTCTACTTCTTGGTTTGTCTCTCTTCTTTCTCAGCGTGGTGTGATTTTTAGTGTGCTAGGCAAGGATTTGCTGCGGCGCTCTCTACTGCCATTCATGCATTGCCTTCTATAACCGGTGATATGGTTCTCAATCTTATTGACAAGGAAATAGAAGTATCTTCCGTGATGAAGGGACAGGTCTGCGTTTTTGTTATAGTCTTCTTTTACTTCTCATATATAGCAGTGTGATTCTTGCAGGATATCAAGGATGGGCTGTTGGGGAGGCTTTTTGCTTATGCTTCGATTGTTCGAGCTGATCGATTGATTGACAACGGCATGACGGAGGAGCAACAAAAGCTTGCCAAGCACGTCGCAGAAAAGCTCCTGACTCTTGGATTTAAGAAAACGTTTCTTCGAGAACCAGCCGCTTCCATCTTTTTGGACCTGTCCGAGAGAGTAAGTACAGCATCGACAATACCAGCTTGTTTATAATCTAACAGTTTTGATATGCAGCTTGCCTCGTCTTCTCTACAAAAATCAGTTTTTACACTACCGAATTTTCTAGAGTGGTTGAATGCTAGTCCCGAAGTTGGAGGGGCCGATGCGCTACTTGTTGCCTTGAAGCTGTGGCGAAAATTACCAGACTCTCTTTCTTCAAAATGCCGTATGTTACCCAAGTCCGGATCTCTGGAGCACTTGGTCCAGGCCTCACATCTAGACGTTCTCATCCCGTACTTAAAGGTGCGTTCTAGGCATGAATATCGATCGATAGATTAACGTTATATGTTGCAGGAGTCTTCTTCGAGCCATCCTCGACTACATCTAGTCTGGAATGCTCTGGCGGACATATTTTTGGATCAAGGGCTTCTTCGAACCCGCCAAAAGAAGAGTAAGCAGAAGAACGACTTGGCTTCCAAGGAACACAGTTTGATAACCTTTTGGACTAGAGTGGTGGATGAGAGCCTCTTGGATTCATCTCACGAACGGAAGTTTTTAGCAATGCGGCTAGTGCTACTCTTCCTTTCGAAGCTGCCGATATCCTGCACTCCCATCATCTTATCTGCTTCGTTCGGACGCTGTCTACTCGACATTCTATCAGGAATGGACAACGTTCTCCATAGTGCCGCTCAGCAGTTCGTGTCCGATTTATCCGCATGGGCTGAAGAAGACCAAGACAGGTTGGTTCTGACGATTGGCTTCTTACAGCAGAGCAGCTCCGGAAAGTTTGATCATCTGACAAAGAGCTCTACGGTGAAAGAACTATTAGGAAAAGTTATCAGCGAAGAGAGCTGCCTTCTCGCTATTCAGAACTTCCAACGCCTTTTTGTCAGTGACGCTATCAATGCCACAGACGAGTCAGATGATACACAGAGAATGGTAGCTAGCAAGAAAATCTGGATGGTTGAACTTATGTGCAGCTTTTCCAAGCAAGCCATATCGGTATCAAAGTCGATGTCCGCGGCAAAGGAGGTTACGAGGTTTCTTGCCGCTCATATATTTCTGAACAGTGACGCGGTGAACACTGATAAAGTCAAGGCTCTTATAATGTGTGCTTCTGGGGACGTATCCAATTCTGAGAAGGATGAGTATATTGGAAAGCTCCGATCCTTACTTTCGGAGAAGAGTCCTCGCTCGAAGGACGACGACGTTCACGAAGACTTGAGCTACGATATTGTTGAGTTCTTTCGGAGTGCTTGGAAGAAACCGGACAAGGGAACCGTACAACGCAGTCTAAGAGATGCGATTTTTCAGATTTCATCTGCGGTAAGATCTGTTTCATGCGATTTAACTCAACTTTTTTCTTTCTCTTTGTTTTGTAGATCGAGAAGGAAGAAAGTCGCAATAAGAAGTTGGAAGCCATGCGGAGCTTCTTGTCGCAGCTATTTATTCAGTCGCACCTCGAACCTGGTTCTATGGATGATATCGTTAACGAGCTACTTATTTGCTGTAACAAGGCATTCGGGAAGGTTGTCGACGTTTCTAGCGATGAGATGGAGGACGAGGAAGAGGCACCATCAATGGGGGATGTGCTTCTTGATATAATTCTTTCAGTACTCTGGCAGTCTCCGGCGCCAATCCGTGCTGCCGCTGAGCAGGTAACCATTGCAACTGTGTATGACGATATTCACTTCTCGTGTTTGTCTATTTCAGATGTTCGAATTGTTTTGTGGCGAAATCACCTCGTCAGGCTTAAGTAGCTTGCTCAAGGTGATCAGCAAGAAAACTGGCCATACTCGACAGGAGCCACTGTTTGATATTCAAGTTGATGACGACGAAGACGTTCTCAGTGTAGAAGAAGTTACGGACAACGAAGCCAGTGAAGTCAGTGATCCGGAAGAAGATCCAGAAACAGGTGGTACAGATGGTAAACAGCAGACCGATAACCAGATCCAAGGTGCTATGGACGATGCAGAGCTTTCGGACATGGATGACGACGCCATGTTTAGGATGGATGTCCACCTCGCGCAGATTCTCAAAGCCAAGAGAAGTGGCGAGCCGGACACACAGGCACAGCTCGTGCAATTCAAGTTTCGTGTCCTCGGCCTTTTGGACACGTTCCTGCAGAAGCAGTCCGAGAGTGTGGCGGTTTTGACGGTTTTGCCAACACTCTTTCAGAGTTACCTCGACGCTTTATCAGACGGGCACAAGCAGTTAAGCGACAGGATAGGTGGCGTTCTAAACAGACTTCTCAAAGCCAAGAATTATCCCAAGGGGTCTGAGGTGGATATGGGTGCTGTCAAGGACTTGCTTCAGAAGCTGCTGATTCTGGCCGCAAAAACCACAGACCAAAAGCTCCGTGGCTTGTCTCAAGGTTTTGTCTTCTGGCTTCTCAAAGTTTCTCAAGCAACTTGCGGTGCGGCTGACGAGGAAGTTGTCAAAACTATGCTTGCTGCGCTGGACGACATCTTTCAGAAGAAGAAGAACACGCTACCGCTGTCATTCCTCCGCGACGCTGCTATGAGATATCCTTGGCTCCGGGGCGTCTCCATTGGAAAGCTACTCAACAAGTGCAAAGATGGCCGGACAGACTACGAGAAGGCCGAGGCCATGGAGCTCTCGACCTCGGTTCTCAAGCACTACACCAAGTCGGGCTCCAAGCCGTCCGGATCAAACAAGACTTCGTCAATGGCGGGAGATATCGAGCCTCATCTCCCGCTGCTTAGCGAGCTACTTATCCTCTACCTCGCCAAGCCACTGAAGAAGGCAAAACAGGCATCGTTCTTGCGCTTCTGCGTCGCTTGGCTCGAGGCCCTGCCCGTGCTCTTCCCGGGCCGGCCACTGTCCAAGCTCGTGGACACCGCGGCGCTATCGTCGGCCGTGAATGACTACGTTTTCTCCGGCAATGCTAAGGCCACCAAGACGAAGCTGGAAAGCTTACTACCACAAGATCGGCGAAAATAAGCTTGAGGATGGTGAATGGATCCGTGCTGCTGGCTAGCAACTCAAGGGAGCTGCCTAAATTTTGTGAGAAGGTTGGCACTGGCAAGTTTTGACACTTTCCAACTAGAACGAAAAGTAAACTTATACCAGAAAAGAGCTCGAATCTTTTCCAAGTTGACGCTAATCTCGTGAAGCGTTTCTTTATGTGGATCTATCATGCTATTTGTCTCGTAGCCACAGCACATGCCAAAGAAATATCGTTCGCGTCTGAGAAAGGTGGCAAATGAAAGGCATCTCCCCTCAAACTTTAAGGAGAGCTCTCTAGACATACAAAACTACAAACATATAACTCTCCGATAGATCCTCGTCGCCTAACTCGTGTTCCTCAATTAAACTTTTGCGGTGGTCCTTCCCATTTTCTAACGTCTTGCATTGCATTTCGTGGCCTCTCGATCAAACCAGGTTCTTTTCCCCCCTCGCGAGATAAGATTCACTTTCCTACAGATGTTGAGCCACTTGCGATTTTGGATCGTTTTGGTTGATTCCAATGTTGGTGGCCCACCAAGGTGTGATTTTTGATTGATCGCAATGTTGAGCTTCAAGAGTTGTGGCCTACCAATTTGATTGATTCCAATGTTGAGTTTCAAAACTTATGGCCTACCAAAGTGTGGCTCCTCCAGATCCCCTCGTTCCAAACAAACCATGTAAATCATCTATCTACGTAGAAAGAAGGGCGTTACTAGACAGATCTGGGCATGCGCACCCATAATAACATGGACACCCAACGAAAATGCTGAGCTGGACGCCGCGCTGGCAGCGTTACAAGGCCTTTGGCCAAAGTCTCTCTCCCTTTGATGAAAGGCTGCTGGCTGTTAGCAAGACAAAGGATTTACTATACGATCGTCAAGCATCCAATCCGGTGGATCAAAAAACTTCGATCACAGCGGAAACTTTCCTCCAAATTTTCTTTTCACCTGCCTGCCAGCGGAATGTACGACAAGTTACCGTGTAAATTGACCAATCCGCTGTCTCTAGCGCCTACCATCGGACGGTTGTCAGCAGAGAAGGTGAACCAATCAGCGGCCTGGAACGCCACACGACGCGAGATGGTGGCCGTTGGATCCGACTCGTGCCCCCGACCGTTGGATTGCCAAGATCCAGAATAAACGGCAGCGCGGCGTCTGGCGTGCAAGCATGACCACCGCCGGATCCTCCAGATCAACGTCTGTTCGCGCAAACGCTCGCTCTAGCAAGTAAGTAGGCGCTGCTACTTACATTTTGATTCCGTGTGTGTGTAAGCCGGTTTGGCTATGGCGATCCTGGGTGCTCGTGTGCTGTGACGGCCTTTCCATTGGACGCTCTTTCCCATTCCAATTCGACGCTTCCAGAAGTCTCCAATTCCTTTCCCCCTCGTTGATATGATCAAGTGCTGAGAGGATCGATCGGTGATGGTGGGCGTCATGCCGAAACAGGAAGGCAAACGCTTGGTGTCCCGGACTTCCTACAACAAGAAAAGAACTGGGCAATGGTGAGTACGAAGTAGAGAGGCAGGAGAAAGAGAAGAAATCTTACCCCCTATTTGCGCAGGATCATGTCCGCAGACGTTCCCACAGACGTCGTAGTTGAGGCAGCCGGCACCAGCTTTTCCCTTCACAAGGTAATGAAAGAAAGCGTGAGAAACTTCTCTCAAACAGAGATCTTGGACTTACCAATGAGCGAACTTGGCTTGGCAGTTCCCCTTGGTTGCTCGATGCGGGCGTATCAGGCGGGCGGTGGCCGAGGCGCGGGAGATGGACCTCTCCCGCATCGAGTTCCCAGACGTTCCCGGAGGAGCCGAGACTTTCGAGCTAGCCGCCAAGTTCTGCTACGGCATCAACTTCGAGATCACCACCGCAAATGTGGCTGCGCTGCGCTGTGCCGCCGAGTACCTGGAAATGAAGGATGAGTACGGGCAAGGAAACTTGCTGGGAAGAACAGAAGCGTTTGTCAACGAGGTTGTCTTACCCAGCTTCGCCAATTCTCTGTGTGTGCTGCACAGCTGCGAGGAGCTCCTCCCGATTGCCGAGGACAACAATCTCGTCTCCAGGTGCATCGATGCCATCGCGTCAATCGCTTGCAAGGATCAGAAGCCAGCTTCCAGCCTCTCCAGCTCGGATTACGGTAGCTCTGGCCGGTTGGGCAGCAAAGGCAAGCCGAATGCCACACTTCCAAAGTCTGCCTTCACGGAGTGGTGGGCCGAGGACCTGTCGCTGCTGCGGATAGATTTCTACCAGAGGGTCCTGGAAGCGATGAAGTCCAAAGGCGTGCGAGAGGAGAGCCTCTGGGGGACTCTCATGCACTACGCTCAGCAGTCGCTGAAGGGCCTCAATAGAGCTCCGACTGGCGGTCGAGGCTTGATGAAAGTCCAGGAAAATACTGCGGCCCTGGAGCACGAGCAGAGAATCTTAGTCGAGACAATTGTCAGCTTGCTACCTCGAGAGAAGAACATAGCGTCGTGCAGCTTCTTGTTCGGTTTGCTGCGGACGGCCATCATTCTCGATACGACGGTCGCTTGCAGGCTAGACATAGAGAAGAGAATCGCGTTGCAGCTGGACCAGGCAACTCTGGACGACCTGCTTGTGCCATCTTTTTCTTACAACGGGGAAACGCTCTTTGACGTTGACATAGTGCAGCGGATCCTGACCAACTTCATACAGCAGCATGAGAATGACGACTTGCCTGAGGCTCAAACTACTTACGAGTCGGATGGTCTTGCTACGCCGACGCAGACATCAGTTTCTAAAGTGGCCAAGTTGATGGATGGCTACTTGGCCGAGATTGCGCCAGATGCCAACTTGAAGGTCAACAAGTTCGTAGCGATAGGAGAACTTTTGCCAGATTATGCCCGAGCGATTGACGACGGCCTGTACAGAGCAGTAGACATTTATCTCAAGGTAAGGGAGCTTCAGAGAAACCTTTCAGTACCTGACTGCCTCAGTTTGAATCTTCCAGGCACATCCGAATCTAGGTGAGCAGGAGAGGAAGAAAATTTGCAGATTACTCAGCGCTCAGAAGTTGTCCCAAGAAGCATGCTGCCATGCAGCTCAGAACGACAGGCTGCCCGCGCACTTTGCGATTCAGGTTCTCTACTTCGAGCAAGTGAGAATAAGAACGGAAATGGGAAGCACGTTGTTTATGGACGACCCGAACCTGTCTCACTTTTCTGGTGGCCGAGGTGGACCAAGTGGTACTGTGAGTGCTGCTATGTCTCCCCGAGACAACTACTCGTCCTTGAGACGGGAGAACCGCGAGCTCAAGCTAGAGATCGCACGGATGAGAATGCGTCTGTCGGAGCTGGAAAAAAGTCACAACAACATGAAACAGGACATCGAGAAAACAACCAGCTCAGCTAACCTCGCGCAAACTGTTTCCAGGCGACTTCATCGCCTCAACCCGTTCAGCAGAAGAAGCTCCAAAGAGTCCGACTCCTTTTCCAAAGCATCCGAAGGAAGTCATTCCCAGAAGCCGAGCAGAGATAGACGTCACTCCTACTCTTGAACGACAGACAATTGTTTAGTAACAAAAGAACCATAATAAACCTGGATTACGTTGCCGAGAAGTGGAAGTGGTCACAAAAGATCGCAGCCTCAAGGACAGTACCTTTGTTTAATTTGTAGCATCGTGTTGAGTGAAAACAAATCACAGTACAAAACAAAACAGAGAGCCCGAAGTCTTTTCTATACACGTTTAAAAGCCTAAGACGAAAGCTGCAAATGATACACAGAGAACGTTAGCAACACAAGGCAAAGATAAGCTAAAGAGATATACTGACCGGCATGTCCAGCGAGTCCGCTCACTTGAAGCCAATCTTCTTTAGAAGCCGCTTGAAAATGCCGTCGCGTTCTTCATTCTGGTCCTTGTTCTCGTCATTGGTCCCCTTGAGATCGAGCTTCTCGTGAAGAGCCTCCGCCACGGCCTCGACTTCCTCCATGGTACGCTCCATAAAGCCAGGCGCTTTCACCTTGTTGACATCCGTGTTGACACCCAGGTCCAGCGCTTTGTCCTGATTAAGATTTCGTCCTGTCCACAAGGGGAGATCAAAGAAAAGAAATGTCATTACCTTGGATTCGACAGCCGGAGCATTCTCCAGGGATTTTTCCTGCGCAAGATTTCGTTCTGGAAGATCAAAGACATGAAGTGGCATTACCTTGGCTTCGACGGCGGAAGTTTCTTCCTTCTTGACAGCCGGAGCTTCTTCGCCATCTTTCTTTCCTGAAATCAAACCGACAGAAACTTAGCGCCGACAAAGACGATCTAGCACTCAAAACGAGCCGATCTAGCACCCGGGCTACACGATCTGCAAGTGCATGCAAGATATCGATGAAAGAGATCGAAATTTCAATGGCGACACAAAGCAATCAAGATCGAAGGGCGAAATATCTCACCGGGAGCGCCATGGCCAGGAGCATCGCCAATGACGGCGCCAGACGCAGACACAGCACCCTCTTCCACAGCCGAGGACGCCATCGCCGCTCTCTCTCAACCAAATGAACACGCAAATAGGGGTTTGGCTCAAAGAGATCTTTATATTGTCACTTCCCAGAATCCTCCAAACGATCTGGTCCGTCGGCTTACATTCCTATCGCCTGGACATTCCCAGCCGGAAAGAACACTAGACAGCTACTTCCATGCGTCTTACAGCGTGCATCTCGTCTTTGATAATCTTCGTCACAGCGTCGTAGGCTTCCGCCCACGCAGCTTTCATGCTTGGGCTCCACTCGTCCTTGAGTGCTTCTTTTAGAGTCTCCAACAACGCATATTTTACCACCTGAAAGAGAAGAAAAATATTGAAGGAATGAATAGCTCCAAATGAATTGAGAAGACAAGCAAACTTACGTCGAAATGCTCGTCGATGACCTTGTGGACGACGTGCGTATGTCCCATCTCCAAGAGCTTTGGTCTCAAAGCTGCTAGTGTGGGATCCTCTCCGAGAAGAATCGCGGCCTCGCAAGTCTAGTCATGAAAATGGAGAAAACGCTTGTTTGATGATATCAATCCTGCTAGAACAAGCGTACCATTGTAAAGACGACGAGTGCGTGGGACTTTAAGTGCGGATTAGCTTCCGCCGGGACGGTGGAGTCCCTCATGAACGAAAAGAGCTGCTTGGCAGTGGGAGCGATCTCGAAAATCCTGCGATGAGAGGACTTAGACGTGAGCTGGTTTGACAAACAGCAAAAGGAACTTACTTGAGAAAGAAAGCGGTAGCATGCGTTCCAGCGTCCCTCTTTAAGACTCGCCACGAGTCTTTAACGAGCTCAGCGTTGGATTTGGATTCGGCGCTTGCTCTCACGGCGAGACACACTGGTGGCTGGCGAGAAAAAGCGCTGGACAAAATTCCCTGTATGCCGACTTTGGAAGAAAGAGGAAACATGTAATAACATAGAGGAAGAATGTATGTCGATCCACCTACCTGCAGAAGAAGCAGCTCTAAGATCCCTGCTAATCTCGAAAGCGCTAGACATGCTCAATGAAGCTGTTAGGCCCTTTGCTGTTGTTCTCGGTAAAATACCCAGCTTGTGGTGGATGCAAGAGCCTGCAAAGAAAAAAACCAAAGCAAATTAGCAGCGCAAGGAAAACCATCTAGAGCTTACCACTGTGGATCATGGCGATCGAACCCATGCGTCTGTGGATCAATGGAAAGAACAGAGAGAAATATGCTTGAGGAGCGTTGCAAGAAGTCCCCTTTATACTTTCAACTAGGCAGCAAGGGGCGCAAGGACGGGGTATGATCAGACGAAGTATCCTTTGTGTGGCGGCCACTGTAGAAATGACGAACGGCCCTTCGCAATAACAAAAGATTAGGAGGAAAAGCTGACGTGTAGCTACTTACGCACTCAAGCAATAAAGTTCATGTGGAAGTTATTGATGAAATCCGGCATTCTCTGTAGCACTTTTCGGAAGTCCGCATAGTTTAGCCCGTAGTTGTTTGGATCGATCTCTTGCAGGACTCTGGACACGACCTCGTCAATCTGCTCTTCTCCAAGGGTGGCAAGAGCCGAAGGATTGGAGCTTTCGTCAGTTTGCGTGATGAGAGAGATCCCTTGCTTTAGATCGTCTGCAAGGCTTTCTAAAACAGCTTAAAGCAAAGCTTTGAGACCAAAAACGTCGAGAGCCTTACCATCTCCAATGACGTCGTCGCCGTCGAAATCCCACAGCGCAAAAGCCCATATCATTTTCACCTCGGGTGGCGACTTTGCGGAGAACACGCCCGCCATGTTTACGAATTTCTCGAAAGTCAGGAACCCGCTTCCGTCCTCGCTGAAAAGCTCGAGAATTCTCGGAGCAAATGGATTTGCGAGCATCTCCTCAATGGACGTTAGATCCTCGTGAGTGAGCACATTCCATCCCTCCTTGCACATTGCCTGGGGACAAGAAAAAGAAAAAGAAAAAACAGAACGAATCCATCCATCAAGAACAGAGACGGAAGAGAATGCTTACGTGAAATTTTTTGTAGAGCACAGCAACTTCACGCGCCGAGAAGAAAGAATTCTCCGTGTAGTAACCCATGTCCTCCGCCGAAAGCTGAGGCCCTTGGTCTTCTTGTTGGCGACGCCTGAGCCATGACCACGCTCTTCGGAGAGACTGCATTTTTCCCTCACAAGGAAAGCCCTAGAAAACAGAGAAGATTGAACCAAAATGCGATACATTAAAACCGGGGCAAAATATTAACAGCAAACCTTTAAACTTTCGACGAGCATTCTTCTCTCTACTATCCTCTCTCAATCCATATCTCTAGATCGCTTCAGCAAGCTACGTGTTTCCATAGTCTCCGTATCCACGACCATAACTGGCGCTCGGGTGTCCATCGCCTGCAGGAGCTTGTAAACCGCTGGAAGTTTTATACCGGTCGAGAGATGGTACCTGGGCGTCCATAGCCGGAAGAGGCGTTTCCACGGGCCCCGTATCCTCCCGAGTATGTTGGCCCTGCAAAAAAGCCTGGGACTGAAAGCATTTTCACGAGAGTCGAGAGGTACCAGAGCCACCGTAGCCATGGCCGCCATATCCTCCTTCGGTGTTATTTGGCCCTCCAAAGCCTATACAGGTTTCGAAAGTGAATGCTTTCTCTGTGTTTCAATGGTACCTGGACCACCATAGCCGGAGGAAACGTTTCCATGGCCTCCATATACTCCTGCTTAAGCAAAATGATTTATTAGAGGTGAGTAGTGGTGGATGATACCTGGGTTCACATGGCCGGGAGAAGCACCTCCATATCCTGCTCCAGTGTAGTTCGCGCCTCCATAGCCAGCAGGAGGCTTATAGCCGGGGGACGAGGAGGGAGCGAACGCTTCGTCACACCACTTGAAAAAGTGGCAGTCCTCGTTTTTCTACACCATCCATCAATCGATAACGAAGGCTTTGAAGCACAAGAAAACAGGTTCTTACGCATTTGTAGAACCGGCGGCCGGAGTTCTTGTCGGTCCTGGCTGTGAATACCACGCAAGGTTGGTTACAGTTGCGGCATTTCAACTCGGGCTCGCCGGGCTGCTGTGCCTGCGGTGGCTGATTCGTAGAGGGTGCTCCTGCGGCATCGCACCACTCGAAGAAGCTGCACTTCGCGCCCTATCAAGCAAGAACTACGTGTTAGCGAAAGTTGACAAGCTTAAAGAAACCGTGAAAGAACCAATGGTTTCACGAAGAACTTTACGTTCTATAGCGAGAACATAAAAGAACGAAAGAAGCTTACCTGTGGAGCTGGACAAGTGAGAAACTGGCGGCCGGGATTTTTGGCAGTATTGGACGTGCGAAGAACGCACATCCCAGCTCCACAAGGGCAAGACTTGGAGGAGAGATTCATCGCGGGAGGAGGCTGGATTCCACTTGCATTTCCCGCCGGGCGCATCGAGCAATCGCGGGACCAGTGGCCAGCTTGCCCGCAGCGGTAGCACGCACCGTCGGAAGAAGAAGATGATCCACCAGCTCCTGGATTGCCGCCAAACCTAGGCGCCGCTGGAGCTGGAGGCTTCAATGCTTGCCACTGATCGCTGTTGCTGCCGCGCAGTGCCGCCGTGTAGTCGCCGTCCTCCGCCATCGCTCGATCGATCGCACGACACTAGCTTTCTTTCCCCCTTTTGTATTAGGGTTTTGATCGGGTTCTTGTTTTAGGGCTGGGATTTAATGGGGCGAGGCGATGACGATGGAAGCGCCCTGGTGGTCTATGGCACTCCACTCGAGAATTCCGATGAGCTCTCGGCTCGCAAACGCGCCAAGGCGCTGGATAAGGGGACGCTTCGCCAGCAGCAGCCCGTGTGGAAGCAGGATGTAAGATCGATGTGTTCTTCTCGCTTCTCTTGCTGAAAATTTCGTTTCTAGGCTCGTGATAGCGAGGGCCGCAGGAGATTCCATGGAGCGTTTACGGGAGGCTTCTCTGCTGGCTACTTCAACACTGTCGGGTCCAAAGACGGTAAGAGAAATGTTGCATTCGTTGCGTGTGCTTAAACGTTTTTGATTTCAAGGATGGGAGCCAAAAACTTTCAAGTCGTCGCGAGGAAGTCGAGCTGATATGCGACAACACAGCGCCTATGATTATATGGATGATGAAGAACGAAGGGTACGCATTGTAGGAATTTTAGAGCTGGAGTCCGCTTAATGGCCGCCTTGGAAACCCGTTTGCAGGAGATGGATTCTAAGCAAATTGGAACTGCTCAAGAATTCGACACGTTCGGTTTCACTGCAGCGGAGTATGCTCGGCGTGAAGCTACTCAAGAAACGAACAGGTACGCATTGTTTCTCGTGATTTTTCCTCAAGATTTACGTTCTAGGCCTGCTGTTATTCCGGGGTTTGTGCCGGATGAGATAATCGTACCTCCGACAGATTCTATCGGTGTGAAGCTGCTGAGGAAAATGGGATGGCGACATGGTCGGGGTATTGGCCCGAAACACATAGCAGCCTCTTCAGGTAATAGTACGTTTCTTTTTTCTAATGATTGCTAACTGCGGGCATTTGCAGAGGTTAAAAGAGAAGGCAGGAAAGCTATGCTGGCTCTAGCTAGTGCAGGCAGTAGCTCACAAGATGCTGGTCCATCATTGGAAGATAGTGAAACTGCAGAGGAACAATTGGATTTGCCACCGACTAGTGTTCCTGTAAGCTGTTTGCTTGTGGCGATTTTGCAGACATCATGTTTGTGTTTCCGTGCAGGACTTTGTCAGGAAAATAAAGGACAACGTTCATGGCTTGGGATTTGATCCGTTTCAAAGTGCTCCTGAATTTCGACGTAGGCATTCGTTGTTTCTTTCTCTTCAGATGATAATGCGATGGCTGCAGATGCCAAGGACTATCGGCTGGATGATGATAAGGACAAAGTCAAGCGGAGAACGCTTCGTCCAAATGGTAATTCGATCCTTGCTTTATAAAATCTAAAACCGTGGCACTTTGCAGCTGTGACAATGTCGAAGGGCTTCGGCATAGGAGCCCTTGAAGAGATGGGGGATGAAGATGAGGACGTCTATGCAACAGGTTGTAAATGTATACTTGGGACTTTCAGCTAATTTCTTTTGCCTTTTCTTTCTCCTAAGGTCCTCATCCTGAGATGATGGTACTCGAAGATGAAGAGCTAGAGCGGCTAGAAAAAATAGAGAAAAAAGCACCACCAAGGCCAAGGCTTCCGACTGTGGCAGTTGGAAAAGATGCTTTGCCGGGATTCAAACTTGCTAGCGAGAACACTTACCAAGCAGAATGGTTTGTAGTATGCATTTTCATTACTGTTTATGCTCACGTATTGTTTCATATATCAGGTTTCACCCTCCTGTGGTTCCTCCTGACTACGTTCCAGTTCACAAGTTCGTTGCAGCCTTGGATCTATCACAATCACAATCTGACAATGCCCCACTCGAAGCACCACAGCCGGAAGATAAAACTCTTGTGAAGCTGATAGACGGCATGGCAATCCTTGTGGCAAGGAGTGGAACTCAACTTGAAGCTCTCTCCAAAGAGAAGAACAAAGAAAATCCTTTGTTTCAGTTTCTTTTTGGGGGGCCGGGTGGTGACTACTATACAAGGAGGCTATGGGAAGAACGATCGAAGCGTGGTTTGCAGATTCAATCTAATCGAGATAGGCCGAAGCTTGGTGCAAGCGAACGTGGTCAAGCTCTTGGGGAAATGCCTCTGCAAAAATCAGCGCTGCCGGCTATTCCCGCTGAAGATCGTGCTCGGTTACAGGCGACACTCAATAACACTTTTATGAAGCCATCTGCAGAGGTAGGCTCGATGATAGTGTACTTTTTCACTTACTTTGTAGTCTTGCAGCCAACTAAGACAAATCGTCTACCTTTCGAGGATGACCCTGCTAAGCAAGCACGCTATGAGCAGTTTGTTAAGGATAAGTACACCGGGGGTTTAAGAAAAATGAACAAAGGTGCTCAACAGCTGACAGAAGCCCAACGTGCGCAGGAAATTCTTGAGTTTGAGGCTGTTGCACATGCTGCTCGAGGAACTGTTTCATCGTCGGGTGCAAATTTACTTGGCAAGTTGGCTGCCTCAAGTGACAGATTCACGTCCGGGGGTGTTGAACAGGCAGGCAAATTTGTAAGTAAGTGTGTATCATGTCAATCTCTTAGCACATTAAAGCTTACATATTCGTTTTTTCCTCAGAAAGCATCGAGGAACAGCAGTCACCAAATCAACTATCAGTTCCATCAACAAACTATGCACCTCAGCCTTCCACATCCTTGTCTTATCCTAGGAGGACTGAGGAGCCATGGAGACCTCTTCCACTTCTCTGCAAACGTTTCGACGTGCTAGATCCATACACTGGACAGGTGCGCCTCAGTATCTTTTTGCCTATTATTCTGAATGTTACATCGTCTTGCAGTCTTCTCTAGCGAAACCAAAGAGCCGGATAGAGTCTTTGACGCTTGCTACGCCGTCAGAGAGTCTGTTTTCCTCGAAGATAACTGAAGCTCTTGGAAGTGCTGCTAAAGATGAAGAAGTGCAAAGGGAAAGCACACCTCCTGTTGATGAGGGTGAACAACAGGAACCCGAGGAGAAAATTGCAGAAAAGCCCGTTGATCTTTACAAGGTATTATTCCTCGTCAAATTGGATATGAATCTAACGTGAATGGTGGCAGGCTATCTTTTCTGATGATGAAGAGGAAGAAGCTCCAAGCCAACCGGTGAAAAACGTAGATGCTGCGAATGCAGCTTTAACACGCTTGGTGGCGGATGACTTTTTGGAGTCACTTGGAAAGGAATTGGGACTTGCAGTTCCTCCTCCCATGCCTGTTCCAGTTAAGGCACCTGAAGACAGTTCAAAAGGACAAACTACTCAGGACACTTCAGGAGGACAGCCTGAGGACATTTCAAAAGGACAAACTACTGAGGACACTTCAAGCGGACAACCTCAAGACATTCCAAAGGGTCATATTAAATTCGTTAAACCGTCTCGGAAAGGAGAGGAACCGAAAGCCGATATTCAGAAAGAGAGAGACGAGAAAGCACAAGCCAAGGATGCGCAGTACACAAGTGAACCCGAGGACCACGCCACTACTAAGGACGATAAAGATCAACGCCGGTCCCGTGACAAAAGGAAGGACAAGAGCAGGGACAGGAGGGAGGAGTCTTCCAAAGAACGGAGCAAACGAAAAGTAAGGTCCTTTGGTATTAGCACTAAGCATGCGACTGAATTACGTTACGCATTATTGCAGAGAAGAGAAAGGAAGGAAAGACATAAACGCCACAAGTCGAAGAGACGGAGAACATCATCCTCGACGTCATCTTCATCGTCATCACCATCGCCATCGTGCTCGTGAGAGGGAGCTACTATTGCTCAGCCGAGAACTTAAAAGCAGGTTTTCATCATTCTTGCTTTTGAATCCTTCGCTATAGACTTTCGACTTTCGTTGTTTTGCAATCAGGGGTATTCGAATCTATCTAAGGAGCATTTCAATGAACGAGCAGCGCATGAGGAAGAACGAATTCAAGGCAAGGGCCCAGTCAGGGCGGCTGGTTGGCCATTACAGCATGGACTTATGAAGCATGGAACATTGGCAGAATTATTCCGGGAGCTCAGTTCTTAACGGTCGGTCCTCCACGTGGACCCTGCTCGGCCGACTCGGGAATAGTCCATCGATCGCAGATAGAGGGGTACAAACAAACAAAGCGCCTTGGGGACGTATATAAGTTCTGGGACCTTAGCTCTCCTCGTTGCAGTTCCTTGGTGTGGAGCGACCTCAACTAGAGAGAAGCTTTTACCTCATCAACCATCATGTTGAGAAGCTGGAGCTTGGGAGTGAGAGACCCCTTCTCTCCAACAACACTCCTTGGCTGTGCTGCAGAGTTCATCGGGACGTTCCTGTTCGTATTCCTCGGATGCGGATCTGTCGTGTCCTCGGGTCTGTTTTGTTTTATCTTTTGAGGATCATGAACTTACGCGAAAACTTTTCGTGCAGGAATCGTGGATGACCAGCTTAACTCTGCCCGGCTTCTCGTTATAGCCATCGCGCATGGCTTCGCGATCGCTATCCTCGTAGCCGCAACCGCTGGAGTTTCTGGAGGCCACCTTAACCCGGCTGTCTCGTTCGGCTTCATGATGAGCGGCAACATGAGCATCATCAAAGGTCTCATGTATTGGATCTCTCAGCTGGCAGGAGCAGTGCTCGGTGCCGGATTCTACCGCGAGTTTCCATCTGCCATCGCCGTAAGTCTCATTGTACAACTCCACGCAACTTTACATTTCCCATCGCAACTTTGCAGGGACACTTTGGAGCTCATGCTGTTAATTCCAAGTTCACAGTGATCGAAGCCTTCGGACTGGAAGCGCTGCTCACCTTCGTGCTTGTATACGTTATCTTTGGAACCGCGGTGGACAAAACAGGCCCCTCGACTATAGCGCCCCTCACAATTGGCATGGCGGTACTTGTTGACCACCTCGTTGGGGTGCCCGTCACTGGAGCATCGATGAACCCGGCAAGATCACTTGGAGCAGCACTGTGGTCGGGGCAGTGGAAGAACCATTGGATTTACTGGGCCGCGCCGCTGCTGGGAGCGACGGCAGCCGCTCTTATCTACACTGCCCTCTTCCTGCCAACAGTCTCGTCCACACAGAAGCAATCAACCAACGATCTCATCAAGAACATCAAGAACGAGAAACACACAGAAGCGGTGGTTTAGAAAGCCCAAGCTCATATATATTGACATAGCTTACAACTTACAGGGTAGAATTTCAAGCCAGGTACTTCCGCAATCTACTTAGAGTTATAGCTCCAGCTCCAAAGCCTTCCAGTGTTGCTCTAGCAAGGGGAAACTCCGCTCTAGCCGTTAGACTGTATGACAAAAACTCATTCTGTTTGGATGGAAAGAACTTTAAAGCACAAACCTGCTTCGTACAACAACGCAGGGAAGGCTGATTCTGCTGGCTGCTTCTGTGCCGAGATAGGCACCAGCCAGAAGGATGCCCCGATCGATAGGCACTCCAGCGGTCTCAGCAGCGGCTCTTAGAGCTGCTATTGTTGTCTTTAATCTGGAAGGAACAAAGACTTAGATACGTTTTAGCAATATAAACTTGAAGTTTCCATACAGTACACTAGAGGTTGTGTCAAGATCGACTTTAAGTTTCAAGGTGGAAGCAACCTCACTGGCAAGCCTTTGCTTCTCGCTGGAAACTGGTGGAAAAAGAGTAGTGAGTCGAAGTATAGAGTCAGGTGACACAAACCAGCTTTGGCGACTTCGGTGGCAAGGAGCTCATCTGGAGAGGAAGAAACGCCGAGGCCGAGGACAACTTGTCCATACGCACTGCTTTCCACCTCGTGCGAGCCAACAATCTTGATGTAGTCGAGGCGCTCCATTCCCAGCTTGTCGAGTAGCAGTCTGTTGTGGTCACACCAAATATCCATTTCGTGTTCGTCTTTTTGTAAAAGACTACCTTGCAACCCGCTCTCCGCTCTTGCTGTAGGAAGATATGAAGACAACGGGGACGAGCTCGCCCATGGCCTCGTCCACAAAGCTGTGAAAACACATGAAAGGTGACGAAAGGCTCTCTCTGCTACATACCTCGTTAAGTCGGGTCGAATTGGAATCGCATCCGATGCTGCCAGAGTCTCCAGTTCGTGTTGCTTGATAGATAGCAGTTGTTTTCAATTCTGTCAGAGAAAGAGAAACCAAATTGTAGATTGAATTGTACCTTGGATTCCATTAGCTTTCTTACGAATGTGTCCTTCTCATTCGTTGGCAGCGACATGGGCCATCCAATCTGGAATCCTTTCCAACGTTACAAAAGAACAAAAGAACAAAACCGAAGAAAAAAAACATACTCTATCGAAAAATGTGGTCAGCATTTGCGTTTCATCACTGCCTGCCTGCCTGCAGAGAAATTCGTTCACGGAAAAAACGAGGAGAATAGAACAGAAGAAGGAAAAGCAACCTGAGAAGATCAAGGTAGACAGGCTCAGTCCAATTCGCGCAGTCGAGGCCCAGCCTCTGGAAAGCTGTCAAAAATACCGCTTGATTTTCAGCTCACAGCCACAAAAACCTCTGTACCTACATTGAAGCTTTGCCGATGCCCGTGCCTGTGCAAATCAGCCACAACTCTATGCCCAGGAAGAACAAGCCCTTTTCAAGCACTGAAACAGTGAAATTATCCTCCATACCCGTCGATCTCCAGAAAAACTGCCATGTCCGACGCCGCATTGCCGCCGCCACTCCTGCTCGACACAAGAACCGGCGAAAATCTCCGCGGCTTCGCCTGGAAAATGCTGCCGCCGAGGCGAAATCCCGATGTGGGCGCCAAAGTCGCCATAGCTGAGAGCCCTAAAACCTAAAAAGTTTTAAATTTTAAAGAAAAATCTCGACACCCCCATAGCCGTTGGATGGAGGAGGTTGGGTTAAACCCTTTAGGTCTAGGGTTTTATCCATGGTGGTTTAGGGTTTAAGGCGCGGCTATGAACGTTTCCAGAGCAATGGCACCGGCGGGCCTTTGCTCGCGTCTCTCGCTCGTCTCCGCCAGCAGCCGCTCGTGGCAATGTAGGGCAATCACCACGCAAGGTATGCTTCTTCGCAAAACTAGAGCGCCGCGAGCTGGAGCTCCGGCATTTGGACGGAGCAGCAGCAGCACGGCAGGAATGCCGGCATTGTTTGGGGCGTCGCGATTCCTCCCAACGGCGCTTGGGATTCTTTCCACAAGATGCTACACTCCTGGGAAATCAGCAGCGGTCTCCACCGAGGAGGAGGATGCCGAGGATGGGTTGATGTCGCTCAAGGAGCGCGTCAAAGGGAAGGACGGCGAGATAGAAGCGCTCAACAAGTCGCTCAAAGGCGAGGAGGAGAAGACCAAGTCGCTCAAGCTGGAGAATATGAAGATGGCGAGAGAGATGGACAAGATCAATAGCTCCACAGGCCGGGGGGCGTCGGCTGGCCAGCGCGGCAAGCTCTCTGCAAAGGCCGCTGCTGCTGCTATGGAGTCGGACGATGAAAGCGATTTCTCGGAGCTCGATGACTCTGAGATTGAGGACGCTCTTGGGGCTTCTACCGAGTCGGAGGTGGAGGAGGATGTGGCGTCCGACTCGGAGCTCGAGAAGGAGTTTAAGAAGCTGGAGTCCGGGTCGGACTCGGACTTTGATGTTAGAGCCGAGAATGGGAAGGAGGTGTCCGACTTGAGCGACAGTGAGATCGAAGACGTGTTGGCATCGAAGCAGAGAGTTGTTGGTCACAGGCAAACGCTGGACTCGTCCATTGGTGGGGAGGTGATGGACGCCTGGAGGAAGTTCGTTGCGCTGCTCAAGCAGAAGAATTACTTCAAGCTTAATGCCGAGGAGCTTGTGAAGGGTGAGGCGGCTTATGAAAGCTTCTCAAACATCGCAGAGGCTTTCAAGCGTTTCAGCACCGAGAGGGACGACATCCTCAAGTAAGTTTTTTTTTCCTTCCTTTACTTTCCAATATTCTTTTTAGCTCAGACTTCTGTTCTTAATCTTTGCAGAATGCTTCCAATGGGCGACTTGAAAGTTTTGGCCAGTCATCCTTGTCCGACTACACTTCGTAAGGCTGTCAACTCTGGAAAGAGGTTGCGAGGATTTTGTAACGTCGAGGAAGCAGAAGTAAGTAATCAAAAGCTGGCTCCTTTTTTCAGATTTACTGGTCGTTTTCCTTTTCTTTAATCCAGGTTTGCAAGTCTTGCTCTAAGAAAGACGACTGCAGTCGTGCGTACTTGCCTCCAGACTCGACGGCTTCAACCAGTGATGCTCTACAGTATCTTTTCCAGTTTGTGGTGTGTACGTCCGAGGGTTCGGATTTCCCTGAAAAAACCAAGACTGCTGTGAAGAACATCTTGAGGCAGCTTACCAGTCTAGGTGCCGTCTCTCGGGATCCTACACTGCCTCGTGACCGTCAGGAAGTGATTGCAAAACCGAAAACTAGCCGTCCACAAAACGAGAACTATGAAATGAAACCTGGAGACTGGAAATGCGTCGAGTAAGATTGAATAATTTCCTCGTCTGGTTCTGATGTTTTTTTTTCTCTCTCTTTCTACAGGTGTGATTACATCAATTTTTGTAGGAATAGGCATTGCCGAGAGTGTCATACACCACGTCCGCCACAAGATCTCCGTCCCGGAGATTGGGAATGTCCAGAGTAAGTTCATGCTTTTTATACCAACTTCAAACGAGTCGTCTTCTTTGTTCTCAGGTGCCGGTTCGTGAACTTTGCAAGAAATGAAGAATGCCACGACTGCAAAGCCGAGCGGCCTGACACAGTCAAGGTGTTCCACACAATAAAAGGAACCAAAGAGAAGTGGGAGGGCAGTCCAGAAGATTTTGCCCGGCAGCACACACACCTCGAGAGGAAAGCCAAACAAGCGCAAGGCAAGTACAGTGATGGTCTCAGCGACTCCGATGATGACTTCAAAGTTGCGCCTAAGCGAACAACTTCCCTTCAAAACCGGAGAATGGCGTCCGAGTCCGAGAGTGACTTAGATGAGGACTCCGACGACAAGGACTTCGACGTAGGGTCCAGGAAAAATTTAGGCAAGAAGCAGAGCAAAAATGATGCATGGAACGACGACTCCGACGACGATGACGACTTTACGTCCTCCAAACGTGGTGGTGGCCAGATGAGAGGTAGAGGGCGAGGAGCAGGATTTGCATCCAGGGCGTCCTCACTTAGAGAAGACGACGGTGGGGGACGAGGCCGGAGTTTTACTAGCGGACGGGGAAGGGGTGGTCGTGCGAGTTTTGCCAAGGACAGCGAAGACGACCTTGATGACAGTTTGGACGACAGTGACGACGATGACATGCCTCGCAGGGGTGCTCGTGGAGGACGTGGTGGTAGCTTCACCACCCGAGGTGGTCGAGGAGCAAGAGGCAGAGGTGGTGGCCGGTTTGACAGTGAAGACGACAGCATGGACGATCTCAGTGATGACGACGACGACTTTGGAAGCTCCCGTGGTGGTCGTGGTCGAGGAGCCAGAGGAAGAGGCCGTGGTGGACTCCGTTCGCGACTTGACGACGACCTCGACGACGACAGCGACGACGTGAGCGAAGACGACCGTTTTTCGAGAGGAGGCCGTGGCGGCCGAGGAGGAGCTCGCGGAGCATTAGGAAGAGGCAGCCGGTTTGGCCATAAGAAGTTTGACGCCAGCGACGACGCTTCCGACTTGGACAGCGACGATTTCCTGAGCGAGGATGACGAGCCTCGTTTCGGTCGTGGTCGGGGCCGCGGACGAGGAGGAGGTGGCCGAGGCAGATACGGCAATGGCGACGACTTTAGCGACGAGAGTGATGACGACGGTGGAGGTGGCGGCCGGTTTGGAGGCCGTGGTCGTGGCGGGGGCCGGTTTGGAAGCCGAGGTGGAGGATACGGCGGCCGTGGTGGAGGATATGGCGACCGAGATGACTTCCGGGGTGGACGAGGGGGCTACGGTGACCGGGATGACTTCCGGGGCGGACGAGGTGGCTATGGCGACCGCGACGGTGGCTTCCGAGGTGGAAGAGGTGGATACGGTGACCGTGACGGCGGTGGCTTCCGCGGTGGACGTGGTGGCTTTGGAGACCGTGATGACTTCCGAGGTGGGCGCGGCGGACGAGGCGGATATGGTGACCGAGATGACTTCCGGAGTGGTGGTGGCTTTCGTGGAGGCCGAGGTGGCCGCGGCGGCTTTGGAGACCGAGATGACTTCCGGGGTGGGGGTGGCTTCCGGGACCGAGATGACTTTGGCGGCGGCCGTGGAGGAGGAGGAGGCTTCCGTGGTGGCGGCCGCGGTGGATTCCGGGGGAGAGGAGGATCCGGCTTTAGAGGCCAGGACTACTGAAGAGAAGAAGGCGATGGCGTTGGTGCGTAAGTTTCTATAGAGTTTTTCGTTTGACGATCTCTACATGAGAGAAGAGAAGTATGAATATTTCTCTTATATTCCTTGTCAAAGCACGAAAAAACAACAGAACCTAGCAGGATTCGAACATGGGAAGGTTTCCTCCTATATTAAATCTAGCTTAAAAGTCTAAACCTCACTTTTTAATTAATTAGTTATCTAATACTTTATTAATCGACAAGTTCGTGCCACGGGGAGGAATGTGGCATTGTGGAAAGGATGAGTAGCCATTCAAGGGAATTATCAGAGAATCCTTGAGGACTTGATCCAGGGAAAATCTAGATTAATTATAAGCCTCGGGGTGGTCTGGTCCGTCGACGAGGAGGTGCCCGCCCGTGGCAGATTCGACAATGGCGACGATTTTAACGGCAAGGTGGCCGGTTTGGACCTCGAGGTGGACTTGACAGTATAGCTTCCGGGGTGGATGAGTGGTTACAGTGACCCAGTGGTGGCTTCTGTGGTGGACGTGGTGACCGAGATGACTAAGTCTTTAGACGGCATCCTCACGCTACGCGGCATTTCGCGAGGACGAGAGCATTTTCGCTAAAACGGTGAGAAAACGAGGAAAAAGGATAGGCGGCCATGGACGAGCTATCGCTATCGCGATGATGAACTGAGTCCGAGGTGGCCGCGAGATGGCCGAGATCATGAAGTTTTGTTTACTGCTATGCCTATAGAGTTTTTTGTTTGGTCAGTCACACAATCTCTATCGAGCTTCTTTTCCAGTTTCGAAGCTCATGAGAGAAGACAGAAGCATGAATATTTCTCTTATATTCCTTGTCAAAGCCACCAAAGAAAAATAACCTCGTGAGATTCGAACATGGGAAGGTTGGTTTTCTCCAAGGGTCGTCTGGCCCGTCAGAGGAAAACTCGCGAGGCCGTCAGTTCCAAACCCCCACCCGTCACTCGTGACGCCGGCCAATCACCTGTCAGTGATTCCATGCACGTGTAGTATACATGGGGCATCGCCGCGTAATATTCCCTTGTACTTGGCGTAGCAGGTAAAATCCCTAGAATAGAAAAATGCGAGGGAAGAAAAGTTTCGCCCCATGGTTAAAAAAGCACGTAAAGTGCCTTAGTTTAATCCCCTTGTGATGCGCCCCTTTGTCAGAATCATTCATTCTGTTGGATGCTGGCGAGACTACTACTCTTTTGTGTGTGTGAGTGTAAGTATAGGTATTTTGCTTCTCAAGCAAGAAGGCCAAAAGCCTAGCGGCTATGGCGGAGCTCGCCTCCTCGCGCGACGCTCGCGGCGCGGCTCAATCGCGGCGGCCAGCGCTCGGCGGCTGATCTCTCCTCTGCGATTCTCGCGCTCCAGGCGCTCTATCGCGCGGCGTCGGCACAGATCGAAGGATATTTCGGCGCGGCGCGGTGGAAAGACCAGGTTCTTGAGCTGTCTAGGGAGATATTGCTAGGGCCGGGGAGGAGAATTTGGGAGCCGTGGGGAAGGAATTATCAGGTGTGTGTGTGTGCGTGTGTGAGAGTTTTGTGTTCTTGCGTGTCTGGATGTGGGGTGTGGAAGACGATTCTTTGTTTTTCTGGTGCCTGGCTTAGCATTAGCTGTCGCATTCTCTAAATTCTGGCATTGAATGCGTTCGAAAATCTCTCTATCTCTCTCTCTCTTTCTCGCTCGAGAAGCATTGCAATGTGACTAAAGGATGCGTTCTCTTCCTTGTTCCAGGATGATTCACGAGTAGATAGAACATGGAGGGTCATCTAAGTTCCGTCGAGTGCATGCTCGTCCGAGAGACAATGTTAAGGCAGGAGAAAATCTACAGAGAACAGGTCAAATTTTTTTTTTTTTTTTTCCGCGTTGGTTTTCGCTAATTTTTTTAATCTTTTCAGGTCCAAGCACTTCATTACCTGTACGAGGTGCAGAAATCAATGATGGACGAACTGGGTGCCACAAATCTTAGCAGCCCAAATGGGAATCCTCCTCAGCATCACCAGTTTTTCCCTCTGAAAGAGGAGCCGACCAAAACAGGATTCCCGAAAGGCTTTGACCTGGAAAAGCTTCCCGACGAAAATGTGGATCAGGAATTGGATCTAAAGCCTTGTCCAACAGACGTCAATTGCGATTTAGAGCTGTTCTTGCACTGCGGCTCGATGAAACGACCGAGGCTGGACTATTCAGACATGAAAAGTCATGTGCAAAGTTTCTCCGTCGGCCAAAAAGAAAGGCAGGCGACGTGCTTGCAGAAAAATCATCAACAATGGCTTCTCGAGGTAAATCTAAGCTTTTGCTACGCCTACTTATGTGCTTATAAGTTTCGATTGCTTCAGGGAATCGGAAACAATAACCAAGCTTCGGCCACCTCCGGATTTTTTCAGCTCCAAATGCCAAATGGGTTTGCACAGGCTCCACTTCATGGTTGGGAAGATTCAAAAAATTCTTCTGGACGGTTCGCTAGCACAGATTTTCCAACGCCAGCAGTAGTCTCAAGCCGAGAGCAGGATGGTCGAACAGGTTTATGGTATGGGCATCAGCAAGCAGGCGGCATGCAACAAAACATGCATGCTACTCCCCATCCATGGCAGGTGTCTGGAACAGCATATTTTAACGGGCTAGCTGCTTCTCATTTACCAGTAACGTGGGATGGGCTCGTAAATGGTTCATCTGGTAGCTTGTTTTCGTTGGCTACAAAACGGTACGCAGATAGCTCACAGCAACAAGCAGATAGAAATGGTCAGCTTAAGAACGGGTACGAGAACACCATGGGTTTGAACTATTACGTGACGATCCCTGGTGTGAAAAAGGATTCAAATGGCATAGTTGGAGGAAATACTTACAGGGATACGATAGGCACGAAGGCGGCATGCAAAGTAGAAACCATGTTCACAGTCTTTGAAGGACAACAAAACTCCTACTGGGCAAACGCATCCTCGGGTGGAAACGGGAATCTCACAGGCAGTCAGGCTCGGCCGCCAGAGAAGGATAAAGCTGCCGAAGAGAAAATCAGTGAAGATGAAGTTGCAAGCCTTGCAGCTTCAATTCTACTCAGCCTCACGCTGGACAAGACACCCTGCAAACGGAAGGAATCCAGTCCCTCGCTGAAGGACTCCGTTGCGTGGTTTGCGGACGCCATACCAGCTGAAGCCGGCGTTGGAATGGACGTAGAAGAAGACGGCGGAGAAAGCTCTCCGGAGATCGATCACTTCGAATGCGCCACACTCCAACTTAAAGCCATCGACGAGTCGGAGCACGTACCAGTGAGCCGAGTGGAACAGGAACCGGTGGCCAGAAGCGGACACAACACCAAACCTTCCACCACCAGCACGGGAAGGCCAACGAGGTCGAGCAAGAAGCAGCGGGACTTTCGAAACGACACGCTGCCGAGCATCACGTCGCTGTCGAGGCAGGAGATCACGGAGGACTGGCAGATCATGAGCGGGTTGCTGCGGTCCAGCGACGGCGCGACCAGCGCTGGCGGTGGCTCGCGGGTGGATCCGTCGACCAACGCTAGCCGGCGGAGTGGAAAGTTTTGCAACATCTCACGCTTGGAAGGCTCCTCCAACTCGAGGATGACGAGCCCAGTGTCGACGCTGGATCACTACTCTAGTCCCAGCAAGGCGTCCCGGCGATCCTCGAGCGCGGCGGCGGCGGCGGCGAGTCCTGGCGGCGGTGGAGCGGCGCTGCCTTGGCTGGTGAGGTGGGGGGAGACCCGGAGGAAACGAAAGCAGAGGCAGCGGAGCGCCACTCCCATGTCCCAAAAGTTGAAGCTCTTCGCGTCAAGCTCCAGAACCAGGAGGTAGAAGTCTTCCATGTACATACATTGACGCCATATTCTTTCTGTTCATAGCCAGTTCTTTTACCGAAGTTCCTGGAGGAAGAGGAACGTTTAGAGACAAGGCAAAGAGATTTTCTCGCAAGAGAAAATGCTACAAAGTATTTTTTAATTTTTTTTTTCTTAAGCTCTGGAATGGAAGAATCCAAGGATGATTTCGCAAAGGATATCGACCCAGGTGTCTGGGAGCCCCGGGAGGCACCAGTGCAAGCAGTCCTGCCCCCACGTCAAGTGCGCGTCTTTTCGTCCCAGCCAGATCGCGGGGTGAGCGTCTCGTCGGTATTCGCTCAGAGGTGTGATGTTTAGCACCCGAAACTTTTGGCTCGTTTGGAGAACTTCTTGGATGAGCGTGTTGATCTCGCGTGCTTCGCTGTTTGTTCCACTGCTAAACCATCTCTCCCGCTGCAAACTCTTGTTAGAATGGAAGGAAATGGAAGGAAGCATGCACCTCTTGATCGGACAACAGCGTCTCGGACATACAGCTCCCGTTCTGATTCCACTCGCCACCTTCGAAATGCCGCGGGGACTGGAGCCTCCAGAGCGCCAGAGCGGTGGATGGCAGCGCGGCTTCGATGCGTGGAACCATATGACGCAGCACTGCCGAAAGGCCCTCTCTCATTCCCAAAGGTGGCAGGATTGGTTTGCCTCTCCTGTAGAAAACTAGAGGCTCGTCATCTGGAAACTTGTCTCGGCTCCACCTGGGCAATCAAATCAGAATTTTTTGCTGCTGCAAGAGATTCTCACCAGTGCCCCGTGTTGAAGATAAACACGTCGTAGAAGCTGAGAACATTGGCCCAGTCTGGAGCAGGCACGTCAACGTCCACCCGAAACGCCTTCTTTAGCTTGGTGTTCTTGAGTGGCCCTGGAAGATCACTTGGCTGTAGCCTTCCTACAAGAAAAGAAAGAAAAGGAACAAACAAAAGCATGACAAACGGCAACATTGGAAACAAGCAAAGCGAGTTGCCTATAAGAGGGAGAGCTTACTCTATAAGCGAGCTCTTTCTATGATCTATGAGAGATGAGCTCTCTATGATCTTCTATGCTCTATGATCTATGAGAGAGATGAGCCTTCTCTATACGAGAGCTCTCCATAAGTGCCTAAGCTTATGAGAGAGAGAGAGAGAGAGAGAGAGCTTACTCGCGGTATTGAGCTAGAAGGACAGCTCTATGATAGCCAATGGTGACGTTGAAAGAAGGAAAGAACGCTCCCCTCCACGCGCCCTTGCGCTTCCACTTGCGCGCCGTGGGATCGCCGCGGCGCAACACGCAGAGCAAAGAAACGAGGAAATTCTCGTTGAGCGAGTCCCCCACGAACCCTAATCGCCGGCCTCTCATCGCGGCCAGGAATCCCGCGGGATCCACAGCCGGGAGCTCGCATTGCCTGGGAATCCATCGCCACGCCGAGATCCTCTCCATTCCCGGCCGCCGGCTCCTCTGGCAATTCCACGCATTCCTGTGGAAGGGGCAGTCTTCCGAGTAGGAAGGCTGCCGTGAGGGATCCAACACCCACGTCCCCGCCGAGTAATCGCAAGAAGGCGCCGCATTGGCGTCCACGGCGAGCTCCTGGATCCCACGCGCCGGCGGTGCGATGGTCGAGAAGAGCAGCGCGTACAATGTGGCGGCGATGGCGATGAGAGGGAGGAGGATCCAGGAGGAAGGAGGAGTAGCGACCATGACCCCGTTCGTGGATTAGGGTTTACCGGAAACTTCAAGGATTCCACGAATAATCACTAAAATTTAAGAATATTCTACAAATAGTCACTGACCATTTTAGGATATTCGACGAACAATACCTTTTCCACTTTCCTATATAAGGTAGGTCTTTGGGAAGGTTTGGCATAGGTATTGTAATGGATTCGCTGCGAAAACGAGCTATTCGAACGAGCGAGAAGGTTTGCGACGAAAGAATGGTCGATGGAAAGTCTCGCAACATCAATGACAAGGACAAAAGCAAAGCTGCTGAAAGCATCTTCGAAACTCTACTCGTCCAATGGTTTTCATACGCGCTATTCAAGCAGGAATAAAAGGATCAATCTCTCACAAGTTTTTGCCCATCAATCCTTCCGATACAATGATCTTCTTCCAAAAGCCCCAATGTTTACTTTCTATCCTTGATCGCAAGAACACCACTGAAACAAAGGTTAAAGTTCGCCTCCATTGATTCAAACATACCAAAAAAGAACATCCACACAAGTAGCATATAATCCTTCCCTCTCAAGCCTCGGCGATGTCCACCTCGCCCTCGTCGATCTCCGTTTGCAGGTCCTTGGGGCTCTTCCCATCCACGGTACACCCCACCGCGACGCACGTCCCAAGGATCTCCTTCACGGTCCCCTTGAACTCCTTGGCCATGGACCTGTGCTTCATGATCTTGGCGATGTCGATCACGTCCTCGAGCGAGATATTGCCGCTGTGCTTGATGTTCTTCACCTTCTTGCGATCTCTCTCCGGCTCTTTCAGCGCCTTGATCACGAGCGCGGCGGCGCTGGGCACAACCTCCACCTTGGCTTGCCTGTTCTGGACGATGAGCTTCACGGTAATGCGCAGCCCCTTCCAGTCCTTGACCGTCTCCTTGGCGATGTCCTCTCCTACTTTCTTGGGTGAGAGACCCAGGGGGCCGATCTTTGGGGCCAGCGACGACGCAGCGCCTACCTCGCCTCCCGTGACGCGGACGAACACCTCCACTACCTGCGATGGATCGAGCTTGGGAGCCATGGCGGCGGCGGCGGCGGCTGCGCTAAAGCTCCTAAACCCTAACAACAGACCTAACCCTAAACCTCAAAACTAGTATATAAATTGCCACGTGGCATACAAAGTGAGTAATTTTAGGGCTTCGCAGAGCATATTCTTGGGTATCGCTTCCGTTTTTAAAAACGGCCTAACCCTTCTTTCTGTTTTTAGTTAGTTTTTTTCCCCTTTTTTTCATCTTTAGTTATAAACACCATTAAAAAACAAGAGCTGGAACATTAGCTCTAAGTTTACATTATGTATTCCAGGCTTACTCAGTGTTCCATCACGCTCTGAGCAGCCAGTGCACGCTCAAGCCGTGCCTCAAACGACATCGTTTGGAAGTTTATCGTCTGATCCTGCAAAGATATACATCACACATCGCGTTAGATTTTGCTGAGAAAGTCCTCACTCACCTCCTTGTATTTGGAGGGGGAGTTTGGGATCCCTTTCCCATCCCACGCCTTGTAAGACTTTACTTCCGAAGTGTCCGGCTCGAGCCAGTCGGTCGCAACCAGACCCATGATCGGCTTCTCATCAAAGCTCATCTGCGTTTGCGTGCTCCTGGTTTCGCTCGAGAGGGAGGTGGAGTCCTCTGAGACCTCGGTCTTTTTGAAGCTGCGAGGAGCGGGTTTGCAAATAGAAAAATCGCCCTCCGAGGAGCCAAACCTCTCGTCCGAGAATAAAGAGGCCGGGAAAACCGAGTCGATGCTGAGATAATCGTCACGGGAGTCCTTGCCATGAATGCTCGACTCTGCCGGTACTGAAAGGTCTCCGTCGCCCTCGTGAGCTGCGCTATGAAACGCTTCCTTGTTATGATCTTCACGTGGTAAGCCGGCTCTTGAAGTTCCATCATGCCAAATCCATTTAACCAGCGTCAGATGAGTTACGTGAAGTTGTCAACATAGCAGTCGCACTTACTCAGGATCATCGTGAGCTCGCAATTTATCGCGTGCCTTGATCAGCTGTTGCAAGTGAAAAATAGATGGAGTGAAAAAACTGAAGCCTTTGAGATAAACTGGAGTTGAGAAAAGAGATGAATCAACTTACCTCTGGATCACGCCGTCGGGATATTCCTTTCTCGTCATTTTCCAATCCAGAGTCCGGAAGTACTTGTGCCTTGTCAGGCCGGCTTGAAGCTGTCGATGGAACAAACCATTTAAATCGCAAAAACAAAACATATAGTCTCCTACCTTTCTGTAGGAGAGCTTGACACGCAGTCGCAAAAAGCTTCACACGCTGCAAGAACCGCCGTGAAACAATACAAAGAAAATCAGTACCAATCCACCAATCCACCTTCTTTTGTCGATTTGGTCTCTCTTTGCGACTGCTGAAGCAACCAAAGAGCCACCTCATCGCTTTACGCAGCAAGTCGATTCCTGTTTGACCCAATCCGACTCTCATAGATCGATCCTACGCCATGCTTCTCGGATCAAAACTGCGATGGAGGAAGTATAATTTCAGAGATGGGGTTCCGGAATATGGAAAGGAAGTACAAAATACCTCAAGCGCGAGCCGATCGACAGCCGATCCAACGCCAAGCGATCACATCCAAGCGCAACCCGCCGATTCCCAGCGCATTTGGCTTGCGCCGTAGCGCCGCTGCGCCTTGCCCTGCCGCCCTAGAAACGCTAGAACACAAAGCGCCAAGCGGCAGTCTTGGGGCCACACATAGGTAGCATTGGAAGAATCACCAGGGGAGTGCGCGAAACAAATAGTTTTGATCTTGAGTATAGGCAAACGCCGACGTGGAAAAAACTTAAAATAAAGTGGTCCGTATGGCGGGAAAAGTAGGGCTGTTGCCAAGCGGTATCGAACGCCGGACCGACCTTGTTCTAGGGGATTTCTAGGGTTCTTGGTTTCTTGCGGCAGGGCGGGGCGATGGCGATCGGGAGCACGGTGCTTCACATGCCCTCCGGGCCGACGGCGGTCGTTGCCAAGCTCCATCCGACGGTCCTCTTCAACATCTGCGATTCCTACATTCGCCGCAACGATCAGCAAGATCGGGTGATTGGGACGCTGCTGGGGTCGATTTCCAGCGATGGAACGATCGATATTCGCAATTCTTATGCTGTTCCGCACAACGAGTCGTCTGATCAGGTCGGTATTTGATCCTGGAAGTGGATTTCGTGTAAATCGGGTTTCCAATGCAGGTGGCTGTGGACATCGATTATCATAGGTCGATGTTTGAGCTTCATCAGCGAGTGAATCCCAAAGAAGTTATCATCGGATGGTAAGTTGCTCAAACTCTCTCTGTGATTTAAGTAAGAAATGGATTCTCTTAAGGTACTCAACAAGCCCTGGAGTAACTGGAAGCGATGCCTTGATCCAGGATTTCTACGCCAGAGAGACCTCCAATCCCATTCACCTCACTGTCGACACAACTTTCAGCGATGACGCCGCAAACATCAAAGCTTATGTTTCCACGGTGTTAACTCTCGGCGAGCGTCCGCTTGCGGCACAGTTCCATGAGGTCCAGCTCGACCTGCGACTCTTGGAGGCCGAGAGAGTTGGCTGTAAGTTCCTTCTCCGTGTCTTGTTTTCCTTTTACTGACACCTCAAAGCTTGGTATAGTTGATATCCTGAAGAAAACACTCGTTGACAAGCTCCCAAACGATCTCCAAGGATTGGAGTCCTCGATGCAAAGGCTGCAAAACATGATCGACACGGTCTTCAAGTATGTGGATGATGTCGTGGTAAGCATAACTTTGAGCTTTGGAATGGAAGAAATCTCTGAGATAAATTAACTTTTCAGGAGGGCCGTATCCCACCAGATAACACAGTCGGTCGCTACCTGGCCGATACTCTCTCCATGGTGCCCAAGATCTCTCCAGACACCTTCAGCAAGCTCTTCAACGATAGCATGCAGGTACTTGATTCTCCCAGAGTTTAATCCCTTCGCATTCGCTGACACTTGCCTTTCTCCTTTCAAGGACTTGCTACTGGTCGTTTATCTTGCAAACTTGACAAGAACACAACTCGCTCTCGCCGAGAAGCTCAACACCGCGGCCCAAGTTTTTTGAAGCTCCATAGCCATGCGGTAAAGTTTAGAGTATGAACGGACAGCGCTAACAAAACTCCTTGGATTTCAGCCATCGTTTTGTTTGGTTCTAATCAATATTTTCCTTCCTAGTTGGACGTGCTAAGACCATAGCTTGGACTCCATGACATACGAAGCATCGTTTTTGGGATCCAAGTCTCTAAACTTCTCCGCTGCTACTGCTCCCAGGCTCGCGTCTTGCTGGACGGAACAAGCCGCTAGGATGCTCGTCCAAGCCACAGGATCTGGCTCAAACGGCATAGCTTTCGCGATTGTGCTAGCTTCTCCCGCTTCTCCACTTCGGCCCACGACATCGATGGCACACACATAATGATCGATCGTTGGAGCGAGTCCATAGTCTGCGAGCATGGAAGCAAGGTATCCCAGGCCGCGCTTGGACAAGCCACCATGGCTACAAGCGGAGAGAACGCTCACGAAGGTGATATCGTTTGGACTCACCCCCTCGAGGTTCATTGCGTGGAGCATCTCCAGAGCTTTAGAGTTATACCCGTTTTGGGCATACGCGGTTATCATTCCGGTCCACGAGATTACGTTCCTGGATCTCATGTCCCAGAAGGTTTTCTCTGCGTCCTCGACGCTACCGCAGCTTCCGTACATGGAGACCAACGAGTTCGCCACGGGGAGTTCATGCAAGTAGTGTGTTTCGAGCAGTTCTTCGTGCACAATCCTCCCATCTTTGATTGCGTTGGAGCCACCGCAAGCATCGAAAAATGTGCTAAAGGTGATGTCATTGGCCTGGATCCCTTCGAGGTCCATGAGCTTGAAGTGGTGAACCGCTTCCTTACAATGCCCGTTTTGGGCATATGCAGCGAGCAGCGAGTTCCACGAAACCAAGTTCAGGACAGACATTCTCTTATACGCTTTCACCGCGCTGTCGAGATCTTTACACTTTCCGTACATGTTCACCACAGCGTTGCTTAAGACGGTGTCGAAAGCAAACCCTGCTTTGATTGCGAAGGATTCAATCTCTCGTCCCTGCTTGATTGCTCCAAGTCTTGCGCAAATGTCCAAGACTCTGATGCAAGTGATTCTATTCGGAGAGATGCCATCGCTTTTCATCCTCTCGAATAGCGCCAGTGCCTCAAGGCAGCGCCCAGCCTCGGAATATACCCCCAAAATGGCATTCCAGGACACCACATTCTTCTGAGGCGTTTTCTCAAAAACGTCCCGAGCCTTTTCCAGATGCCCATTTTCGGCATATCCCGTCACCATTGCGGTATACGAAGCTACGTCCTTTGTACGGAGGCTGCCAAACAATCGCTCCGCATCCTCCAGATGCTCATTTCTGGCATATGCCGTTATGAGAGCATTACACAGCACAGTATCTGGATTGGCAATCATCTCAAAGCAACGCCTCGCAGCGTCAACATTGTGACACATTCCGTACATAACAACAATAGCTGTGGTGATGACGATGTCGGATTCAAGGCCCGATTGGATTGTGTGAGAGTGGATGCGTTTTCCCTCGATTGGGCACGAGCAAGACTGGAGAGCTCCTACAAAGCTGATCCTATCGGGTCTCAATCCCTCCAAAAGAACGCTTCTATAGGAAACCCCTACATCTTCGGACAAACCAGCCTGTGCGTAACCTGTAATCATCGAATTCCACGAGACCAAGTTATGTTGAGGCATCTTGTCAAATAGGATCTTTGCTTCCAGCATATGCCCCGACTGGGCATATACTCCGAGCATGATGTTCCACGAGAAAAGATTCCTTTTCTTGATATTCTCGAATGCCTGTGCGGCATCCTGGATGACACCGCACCTTCCATACATCTGGATGATCCAATTTCCAACAAAAGTTTCAGTGTCCTTGCCAACCTGGCGAAGATAGTCGTGCAGCCGCTTCCCCTGTGCGAGTGCCCTGGACTCCCCACACTGCTTGAGCAAGCTTACAATGCGCGAATCGTCATCATTGCCGTGCAAGCTGTCGATAGACTCCTGGAGTAGCTTGATTTGAGGAGCTAGATCGGTGCCCATATGGCAAATTGAACAAAAATTAGAAGAATAAAAAAAAATTACATTCATGGTGGCTAGATGAAATTTCACAAATTATCCCTTTGAAATTTTGATAATGGCATTATCTTTGTTTTAACTAGTGGGGCGTTTTCCACTGTCATCTGACGAGTCTTGAACACCAAAAGCAATAGTGGGACCTCTTTGGTATTGACATAACTTTCAAGCACCCAAATGCAAGAAAAGGAAGAACTTACCTCTTTGGTCTCTTTGCAAGATTTGTATGTATTTCAAGGGCAAAGTTAATAAAACCACATAAGCATGAATGTCTAGGATGTTTAAGAAGAACTTCAATTTCTTCCATATAGCAGAAGCTTGACATTGGTGTTCATAAATAAAAATTAAGTTAGTAAAAAGACAGTTACTAGTTAAATTAATTTTTAATTTTTATATATATATATATCTGTGTGTGTGTGTGTATGTGAGGTCCAAATGTACAGCTACAATACTATATACTAATAGTATAGTGAAATTTTGGTAGTCATCAAATTAGTTTCACACTTGCTCTTGTATATAAATTAGGGTTTTTGGGCTAATTAATATATACATTTCCTGTATTCTCTTTCCATATTCCATACATTCACATTGGTGGAGATGAGGGCCAACTTTGATTGTCCCTAAAGAGTGTTTGGATTTGCAATTTTTGGTTTAAATCTAGCTTTTGCATTGTCTAGATCTTTATTTTCTTCTAGTTTTTATCATTTCTTTTCTTTTGTTTTTTGTTTAGATCTAGCTTTTAATAGCGCATGTGATCATGGGATGAGATTTGGATATATTGTCACCATAAATCCTTGGAACCTTAGGGGATAAATGGGGATAAAATAGCCACTAAGGGCTCTCTCATTAAGCAATTGCCCCTTTTCCAGCTGGCTTAATGGGAGAGAAATAAAATGCGCTACACTTTTGCATTATTGCGAAATCCTTAGGTATGTGACCTTCATTTTATTACGAAGCCTGATGGGACGATTTGTTTCTACATCGACTATCGTCTATTAAACGAAGTAACAATCTCAGATATGTAACCTCTTCCTCACTGTAAGGAACTGACTCCCTGAGATGTCGTAGGCTAAAGGATCCCTGAAAGCATGACTGAAATGACAAAGAGTTCATCGGATAGGACCGAGTCGAAGATCGAGTCCAAGACCGACTCTGAGACCGAGTTCGAGATAGAGTTCGGGATCGAGCCGAGACCGAATCGGAGACCGAGATTGAGACCGAGTTCGAGACCGAGTTTGAGACAAAGTCCGAGATCCAAATCGGGTCCAAGACCGAGTCCGAGGTCGAGTCCGAAGTCGAGTCCAAGATCGGGTCCGAGATCGAGTCCGAGACCGAGTCCGAAGTCGAGTCCGAGATCGAATTCGAGATTGAATTCTAGACTAAGTCCAAATACTAATAGGGATAGGGAGGTCTAGGAACCAGTCTTGAAGGAACTCTCCAGTGGTGCTTCCAAACTGACTTGAGGTTGAGACTGGGGCCGAGGGGCCTTGGGTGGGAGTGAGCATGGGCTTGGGTGGTGCCGGAGGGGCCACCCAGGGAAGTGCTCAAGAGCAGCACCCACTCCCGAAAGGGAAACCGACTACGGTGCTCCCGGCTCATGTGGAGTGGTGCCCCACTTGAGTACCTTGTGGCTCATTGGTCCTCGCCCTTCCCAGGGGCTTGGGCCTTCCCTTCGGGATGGAAGTGGGGGGGTAGAGGTACCCATACTGGGCCGTTAGGCCATGGTGTTTCACCCTGATGTCCTGAAGCAAGTGTTGCACCTAAGGCTTGGGATTTAGAGGGTCCCATGATCAAGTCTTGTTGTACCAAGGGGTGTTAGGAACCTGGAGGCTTGGTGTGCTTGGCTGCTTGTGCCTGCGGGGAGTGTAGCTGAACCTTGAGTCCAGTCTAACCCGGGGAGGGGGATTGGGAGGGATTTGGGAATCCGTGGATGGAAGGCTAACTCTCCATTGCTCGTGTAGTGAGTAGCTGAAACCAAGTAGGACCAAGTAGGACCAAATACAGATGCAAAGTCCAGTTTACTAACACTTGAACAAGAGGGGCCGATAAAGGGAACTAGCAATACCGACCTCCTGCCATCGTGGCAATAAGGTAAGAGTGTCCGTAAGGATTGGCCGATAGGTAACTTTTAAAACCCGAAGTCACATTCGTGACACTCTCCCCCCCTAGGGAAGATCGACGTCTTCGTCAATGCATACTCAAGTCTAGAATACTGCTAAGGAAACAACTCCAGAAAAAGTTCATAGTACTCACACTATGTGAGAAATGCACCAACTTAAATGAGTTAGGGTAACCTCTTTGTCTAACGTGGATGCGCTACCAGTTTAGACACCTTTCTGCCGTCACCGACAAGGAAATGACCAACGGAGTCAGCCACCCTTGCTGCTCTGGGTGTCACCCAGCTACAAAAGTGTGATACGCCCCTACCTGCAAAGACATAGAGAGAGAAGCTAGAGGCCCCAACCCTCCTGAGCAAAGAAACTAAACCCGTCGGTAAGGTTTAGATAGACTACTGTGAACAGGCAGTTAGAGTTGTTTACGCGGTCACGCCCTTTCAACGGAATAAAGAACATCGACAGAGAGGCGGGTGATGTGACTAGTCGACAGTAGCTACCCCATGACTAGAGATTTCAACATGCACACGAAGTGTCGAAGCCAGTCTGCCTATACTGGCCTAAACTCAAAGATCAATAGATGGACAATATCAAAGTCATAGACAATGATATCTTAGAGTCTTAATTATTAGTGAATATATCTTAGATTAGAACACAAAAGTATTCCATGTAAGTTATCATCCGATAAACTAATAATTGATTATAGGAACCACCAAAATCATCATAATTGGTAAATATAGGAATCACCATCCAACAAAATTCAATAACAAGTAAATCATCAAGGAAAATCAATGATGAAACAGAACTACCGAAAATGGCAGATAGCATGCCAAACAACTCACAAAACACAACTCAAAGAACACAAAGTATCATTGACTAACAAGCACAATGCTCACAAATGTATCACCTGAAAGAAATAACATCCTAATCTATGAGAACTAACTTGAGCAATAATTAACAGAACAAAATGAATGTTGTAAAGCAAACAAACACTTAGTCATGCCAACCATTGCACAAGCCAATCTGAATAGATCCTGGTCAACAATACGAAGGAACTCAAGTTGCTTAAGCAAGTGTCAGCAACATCCTACTGATGTTTCAAACCCAAAAGACCAATCCAGAGCAAACCATATAGAATATGTGGTATTGCAAAAAACCATAAGCCACCAAGGAGAACCACTAACTGTCATGAAAGATTATCAATCATCCCATTAATAAAAGATATGCATAATCATCGTCAAAAAAGGAATCCACCATCTTAAAGAACAGTGAATTATTCTATATCAACAACAATCAAGCAAAATCTTTTTGACAAGGACAATCAACTATCCTAGATGATAGTCAATCATCACCAAATATTGTTAGATGTAAGAGCTAACTTCAACATCGAAGCGAATGAGCCAAAATGCCTTTTTTAACAACTTTTAGCAAATGGTCCACAAGCATGAAAACTCAAGGAACCAAAAGCTCGAAGAAGCCTATAGCCAAGTCTTGCTTAATAATGACCACAAGTCTTGCATGAACTAACTTTAATGCTAAAGAAGAAATCATGTTATAACCCAAAACATCTTCTTCAACACATCTATAAGCTAAACTTCATAATACCAAAGTTAATGAAAAGCATTTCTGCATCAATCCAAAAGCTAAGCACAATGGAGCTATGCTCAACAAGTGATCATCAAACGATCCTTCATGAATCCATCTACAGCAAGATGTAATTCACATCGTAACAAGCACAAGGGGAATCATCAATGATCAATATATTCCAACTCAAATCCAATAAAGACTCAAATAGTCTAATATCGAATATTAATTCTTCCTCTCGTAAAGTTAGGACTAAATCACTTTTCAAGGAAAAGCTTAAAGCTCAACCCTTACTAAACAATCTCGTCTAAAACACAACTAACTCAAACTTGCCACTCAATTCATTTGAATGTCAATGCAGTTGCTAACTAGCAAATGCATGAATACCAATAACACAAAGCCATAACCAAATCATCAACACTATCTTCATCAAGACTAATGAAACTCAATGTCAATCCTAAGGAAAGACATCTCATTTCACTCAAGTCTCAATATCAACAATGTTAATGATAAGGCATCACTTCAATGCCATCAACACCAATACAAAGCTAGAAGAAAGCAAAAGCGAATCACCACTTGGAACTTTCCAACAACCAAGCTAACCAAAGTCGAAGATACTATACTTAGTATCCAAGACCAATCCTTCAGCAAAACTCAGTTACAGATAACACATCATCAAGGAGTGAATCACCACATCCAAGACTCAATGAAATCCAACACTATAGACCAAAGGTAACCAAATAATATCAACAAAGAAATTGACATGCCAACATGGAAAAACCATGCAAGCCTAATAACACGATCCTCTGCAACACCATCCGATAAAGCAAGCTCATCACTGCTAAATCATCATCGAACAAAGCAAGTATTAACGGTCTTTGATGAAGTCTACAAGTAAGCATTAGTCACAAAGCAACTAATAATCACCCTTCAACTTGCCTTCACAAGATCCAAACACTAAACTCATATGATCAAGTTATATACTTATCCAACATGAACATAATACCCTATATACGAGATATAGGTTCATTAACAAGTATGAACTAAATGACCACTCGAATCTAACTTAACCGAAATAAGCTCATTAATGCATTTAGCCAATAGCTCTGAGCATGCCTTTGAAGAGGCTAGTTAGACATGACCAACACTCAGTCAAAACTAAAGTGAAGACCATGAGATGGATTTATATCGGTACACAACCTCTTTATAGACAAAACTATAGTACGGGTACTAATATCTCAAACTCAAACAACTAAGTTGGACATCACC